GACTCTGTAGAGGAATAAGCTCTATTCCCATCTGTTGAGCGAAAGTTGAGTCAATTGGATTCATCACAGCCAGAATCAATAAAGACCGATAAAGAGACGGATCTATTATTTAGCTGTAATGATGCAGGAAGGAGAAGACGAGGTGAGGAGGGAGAAATCTTCTGGTCCGCCAATAGTCCTCTCTCTACTGGTGGACCCTGGCTTTTCCCAACAGAGGGCAAGAGGCTACGAAATGGCCCGCCTCACCAAAATATAAGCAGAGTTTGGATAGCATTCTGTGTTGCTTCTGCTCAGGGCTTAAACGAAGGCCACCTATCTGCATGGGTTCAGGTGCAGTAGAACTAGCAGGCAGTCTGACAAGAAAATTGTTTACTGGAGACTGGGTAGGAGCCATCTTGCTACTCCTCTCCTTAGCACAGGCTCGAATCGATTATCCAAATGAATAGAGAGATTAATTAAATCCTCGAGAGACTCGGGCTCGTCTAAGAGGGCTAATTCATCCTTGATAGATTCACAAAATGCCTGAGAAAAAAAACCTTTTATGGCTGCTTCATTCCAGCCTGTAGCGGCTGCCATAATTTGGAAATCTAAAGCAAATTCAGAAACTGTTTTCTGTCCTTGTTTAAGCTTCAAAAATTCTCGAGAGATGAGGGTTTTGTCAGTCCCATGGTTGAAAGTTAGCTTAAACTCTTTGAGAAACTGATCAAAAGTGCATTTATGATTGGATGAGGAGGAAAATCTTACCTCAGCCCAATCCAAGGCTCGGTCTGTGAGATGAGAAATAATATATGATATTTTAGATAAATCCTGGAGGAACTTACTTGGACCGTGATTGAATTGGATGGTACATTGCATTAGAAATCCACGAAACTTCTTGGGATCCCCATCGAACCTGGGGGGATTAGCCAGTTGACACTCTGTATGAGGAGGAGGACAAATTAACAACCTGGTTAGCTTGCTGCGGGGCTAGCTCTCTGGCAGGGCCCAAAGCCTGGAGGGAAAAAGGTACAGCCTCAGTTAGCACTGTAACTCGGCGGTTTAAATCAGACTGTTGATTACTCAGATCGAGGAAAAAACTGTGGTGTTTGTCTGAATGGCTTCTGCAGGGTCAGCGGTTTGGCCAGCGTGTTCTGTCATGATTTTTCTAAGGCTCGGACCCACATGCAGTGAAGTCAAACTGAGAGACACAGTAATAAAGTTCAACGGGTTTTATTGAAATAATTTTGAGTTCAGTGCAGAGTTCCTCCAAACTCTGCTCAGCCGGAAACTGGAAGAAGAGGGGAAGACAGACTGTTAGATTGAAGCTCAGTGGGAAAATCGAGTTGTTAATCTTGAAGGAGAGGATTAGTTGCCACTCACGTTTCCAGAGAAGAAGAGACACTTAGACTCCAGTCTGTGTGTTGGTCTTCCAGAGCTTGTTTGATTCGGTGGAGGGCGGAACAGGGTTTACCCAGAACTCGGATGGAGTGGAATGATGCAGCCGCTGGTTGCAACTCAGTTTTCCTGTGGTACTTGAACGGGTCGTGGTGAAGATGATTTCCTTACTCAGAGAGTTATTTCAGCGTTCTCAATCATGACTGGATCCAAACCTCCTGTTTGGAATCCGTCGCTCAGTATAAGACTCAGTTGATCCCACTTGGGAGAAGGCGTTCCGGAAAGGTCCAGTTTGCAGGAAGGCTTCCTGCCGAAAGGCAAAAACAAAAACAAAGTTTAGTCTCAAGGAAAAACAAGCGCTCAGTAAAAACTCAATGTGATCTCAGCTTGGCTAGAGAACTATTGCTCTGAATGCAAAAACTCTGATTGACTCAGAATAACAAGGCTTGGCTAGAGTACCCCAAACTGGCAAACACTCTGGCATCGAAGTAGTGGCAACAAGCAGCTTAAGAGCAGTCTGGTGATGAAGCAACAGCTTGCAGGTGTGTGAGGAGGAGAACCGGAGCCAGGCGCCTCCTGGTGGTGGAAGGGAGAAACACAAAAGACAAGACAAACAGACGAACACAAAAACTGGGATCCTGCCAATTACGTCATGACGCCCAAGCCTTATAGGACTAGATAAAAAAAAAATATAAAAAATTAAACATGGTAGAAAAAATGAAAAAGATAAACAGTTTTTGTGGATAACTTTAGTGCAGATAAAAAAACAAACAAATTTGGTGTTTATAAAAAAATTTAATCATAGCATCATTTTTGACTAAAGCAAAGTTGGACTTTTTTCATCAGCTTTCAGAGAAGTCACAAAAACAGTTGATCAGTGCTTTATCAGTTAAACATAAATTCATAAACACAGCCTGAAACTTCTCTACATATTTCATTTCACACATTAAGTCAAAGCACAGCTTTAAAAGCTGACACATGTTGATGAAAGAGCATCAGCTTCTCGTTCGTTGGCTTGGCACACTGCTTTGGTCTTAATTTATGATAAAACCTTAGGTTGGCAGAAGCACATGTGTTAAAAACCATAAAGGACACCAAATTGTAAACATATAAAGATGTGAAAAGCTGCAAAAGCTGGTGTCAGAAGAAATTTTGACTATGAATTGTGATCCCGGCCACGAATAAGCTCAGTAAGTTCCTATTTGTTGAATCCAAAGTAGCTATAGATGATGATAGTATGTGATGAATCTCAGGTGTTTCTTTATTCAGCTTCAATGTAAAGCAATAAATGTATCTACTGTCCTCTGTGTTCAGTTTAAACAGATTCGCCTTAATTTTATTTAACACTTGAATGAGAAACTGTCCATATGTATTTAAATGGATGAAATGATAAAAAGAGTAAAATAGATTATATGTTAACATTACAAGCTGATGCCTGTTTGCTTGTTTCAATGAAAAACTGTTATTTCTGTCCTTACCAAACCTACTTATAGTTAATTCATTGCTACTGTTTATTGTCAAAGCTTTAGTCCAATAAATCATTACTTGATTTATTACTTTTTTTTTTTGTTCTGTTTTTTTTTTTGTGGTAAACAGGAAGCTTTAAATCTCATAGCTTTGTCATCAGGGATGTGAGACAATGTAAACCATCATGGGGCAAAAAAAACCCTTCTTGTTGAAGTTACTTATCTATCCAAATTATTATGAAAACATCCGTTTTACTAAAGTGTTCTTTGAAAAACGTTTTGCTGTCTTTATAAGGATTATTAGTAGATTCAGTTTAGTTGGTAATATTGTATAAATATATCACAGAGTAAATGTCAGAGACTTAGAAGCCACTCTGCCATCTACAGTATTGTAAAGTGTTAAAACACAACTGCTAGGAGTTGAACCTGCAACCATTTTTCCTGAAAAGTCGAAGTGTAGCAAATGATGGTTAAATGTTGGTTTGGAGATGCAGCATTTTTAGTAGCATGAAATTCTTTAAACAGGCATTTGACAAACCAGCATAATTTTCTGTTTATGTAGACCAGGGGTAACCAATTAAAAATCAGTGGGGTCCCAATAAATAAAATGAACAATAATTAAAGGTCCGGAGACATTTTTAATTATAATCTGTTACTTTAAACAGAATTTAACCCTGAAATAAAACGCAGGTGTTGTTGCATCCATGTTATACATTGCATTTTTAAATAAATATAATTAGTAAAATGTTTTTCCATTTTAAAATCTAATTTGTTTTGTAAGTAGAGAACAAAAATCTTTAAGTTTGGTATATAGACAATTTCCTGACTCACTTTTTTATTAAACACCTGAACAGACTGTTTTGTTTTTCTTTTTTATGGCTTAGTGAGAGCAGTGGGCTTTATGCTGCCCTTCAAGGCTTTAAACCTGGATTTGAAAGCCATTCTCAAGCACCTATCTAGGTGCTCTTTTTGAGCTGGATCGATATTTATTTTTTAAAATGTTCATGGTGTCACTGCTCAATAGGTAGCACTGCTGCCTTGCAGCAACAATGCTTTGGGTTTGATTCCTGGCCCAGGGTCTTTCTGCATGAAGTTTGCATGTTCTCCCTGAGCATGTGTTGATTCTCTCAGGGTACTCCAGCTTCCTCCCACAGTCCAAAAAACATCACTGTTAGGTTAATTGGGTCCTCTAAATTCTCCTTAGGTGTGAGTGTGTGCATGAATGGTTGTATGTCTATTTTTGTCTCTGTGTCGCTGTGGGAGCCATTTGTCCTTTCCTGTGTTTACCAGGGGGCGTATTTCATATTTTGAGTTCTGATTGTCTGATGTGGGATGGGGTTATTTAAGATCAACCATGATTCTGTTCTGGTGTTGTTAACGAGAAAAGGCAACAATGTTCTACTGTGTTCGAATGTATGTATTTATGGAAAGGCAATTAGTAAAACTATGGACATTGTTTTGATAATAAATTACTTTATCATAAGTCAAAGTAAAGATCGACATGATAATTTAAATTGAGCGCACGTAAAACCAACGCCAAAATAGCAACCAGTAGCCTAAAATATAGGATTTTTGTCTCGATAGTTGGCCTGCGATGGACTGGCGACCTGTCCAGGGTGTACCCCCGTGTCGCCCGTAGACAGCTGGAAAAACACACCAGCACCCCTCCCGACCCCGCTTGGGATAAGTCCACACTTTCTCTGCTCTCTTTTTCTCATTGTCTTCTCCCTCTTTCCCATCGCCCGGCTTGCCACAGGTTTGCCAGCTGTGTCTAAAAGTAGCTAGCAGCAGCAACCCAGACTGACAGCTCATTGGCTAATTTGGATCACGTGCAGCCTGGTGTCGGACACTCCAGAGGCCTTTACCATATAAACAGGAGAAGCGGCACAAGTGAAGTTAGACACTGCCGTCGGACAACATGCAGTAATTTATAAATCAGGTTGGGTCCAGATTAGCCAGCAGTTAGGTCCGGATCCGGACCTAATCTGTGAACTCTAGTGTAGACTGTAGCCCAATAGGATGACCATGATGGCGCAATTGACCATGTAAAACAACATGTTTGGATGTATCCGAAGAGTCAGAAGTTCTGGTTAGGGCTGAAACTATTTAATCATGATTAAATTGTTTTAGTAAACAGATTGTAAACAGACAAACTCAAGCTTCTTTAGAGTTAAGAGGTTTATTAAACAAAGTTTTGAAAAATCTTTGATGCATTGAGTTTGCCCTCTGTGTCTGATTGCACAGATAAAATGATTTGTTTAAGCTTTAGATGTTTCTGTGTTATTGAGGATGATGACGTCTGTCCCATTCTTCTTGTACTTGGCTGATCCACTCATTGTAGTTGGACACCTTGGTGTAGATGCCCAACTTATCTACCATGCCACAGCCCTCGCCCCATGACACCAGGCCAATCAGGAACCAGGTGTCCCGGTACAGAGTGACCATCGGCCCACCACTGTCTCCCTCGCAAGCATCAATTCTCTCACCCAGAATTCCGGCGCAAAGGACATTGTTGGTGAGGTCATGGGGAAACATCTGCTGCCTGCAGAAGCTGTGATTAACCAGTGGGACTTTTATGAAGTTCAGTGCTGAGCTAAGCTTCCCGGTGTCATCTTTGCCCCAGCCTGTAACCACAGTGGTGGTGCCATTAAGGTGCAGCACCTTCTCCGCCAAGGAGCGTCCTGGTAAGCAGATCGGGACAATGTATTTAGAAAGAGGAGCAGGGGACTGCAGACGCAGCAGGGCGATGTCGTTGTCCTCCGTCATGCTGTTGTATTTAGGGTGTTTGAAGGTCTTGGTGACTCTAAGAAGCACCTCTGTGCCTTCATTCCTGAATCTTTCATAGTCACCTGGGAAAAATAAAATTTGATGATCAATAAAGGGACCAGTTACAAACATTCTTGTCACATTGTAACATTTCTTTTTTAATGGCTATTAAAACATAAATCCTTAGAAAAAACAATACTATGCCTACTTAAACCTGGTAGCTACAGATTCCTGGACATGCGTAAAAATCCTCTCCCACCGTGTTTACTACGCCTTGCTGCATTAGAATAAACACAACTCAAGTGATGCTGCAATGACCAGTGGCAATTAGACCAGTGGCATCAATGAATTTGGTTTACAGTTATCTGCCCACCGAATGCACTTAATGCATCAACACCTTTGTTTTTAGATGTTTGAGATTGGCCTGTTTTTCAGTGTAGTCCTGTTTCTCTGACTATTACTGGCTGGATGTGCTCTCTTCATACCCCGACATGGTAGCTGGCACGGAGCTCGTATGCCTGGCTGTGTGTTTCCTCGATGGGGCCACCTTTACAGTTGCCTGTTGTATCTTTGCTTCTGTCTCCTTGAACCCAAGTCGACCTCGGCAGATGGCCGCTCACTCTGAGCTTGGTTCTGCTGGAGGTTTCTTCCTGTTAAAAGGAAGTTTTTCTTCTCCACTGTCGCTACAAGCATGCTTAGTGTGAGGGGATGCCTTCGAGTGAATGAGTCAATGCAATCAACTGGTTTTCCTTAGATAGAAAACTTTTAATCAATTTGACTGTATAATCTGGTGAACTGTAAAGTGCCTTGAGATTGCATGTTGGATATTGGCGCTATATAAATAAACTAAATTGAACTGAATTGAATAGCAAATCTTTGAAATGCTACATGACATAGCAGAACCATTTGCATGAGTGCATAAAGATGCATGTTTACTTTAAGAACTTTTTCTTACTTTGAAAAATATCCTTCCCAAGATAGCAAAATGTGTTACTGCAGCTTAAAGGGATAGTTCGGTATTTTTGACATGAATCTGTATGGCATCCCCATCACCAGCGGCATGCAATCACACTGACTTACCCCTGGCAGCGTCCTGTGAGCAGAGTTATCGTCCAGTTTTGGTCAAGCCGAAAGTAGTCCTGCAGGTTTTTAGGAACAGCGAAATAAAACTTTTCTCTTCCCAAAACATTATGTGTTCAAAAGAGTGATATTTTCGCATCCCAAAAACATTGTAGTGGAAAAAGTCACACGTCGTTATCAATTGGTCCTATTTTCTCTCTGTTCGTATCAGTGCGCGCCGTCATTCAGACAGCGAGCCCAACAACAGCCATGTCTCCCTCCGCCGCGGAGGGAGACATGGGATGGGATGCGAAAATATCACTCTTTTGAACACATAATGTTTTGGGAAGAGAAAAGTTTTATTTCGCTGTTCCTAAAAACCTGCAGGACTACTTTCGGCTTGACCAAAACTGGACGATAACTCTGCTCACAGGACGCTGCCAGGGGTAAGTCAGTGTGATTGCATGCCGCTGGTGATGGGGATGCCATACAGATTCATGTCAAAAATACCGAACTATCCCTTTAATATTTTCAGGGTATGTTGCATGACTCTCCAAAGCTGATGTAAGGATGAGCATGAAAGATGCAGCGATAAAATAGAAAACCTAATGGACTGTTCATCATGATGGATTTTTAAAAGCTGTTTTGTTTCCTGCTTGTTTCTCTGTCATTATTTCATTTCTGGTCTGTAAATGGATGAGACTGATGAGTTTTTAGTTTCCTATATGCTTGCAGCTGAAGAACTCACCAAGCCGTACGCTGAACTTGAAGGTGTTTTGAAGGCAGTGGGCAGCCGTCAGCACCCAATTTTCATCAATTAGGACTCCTCCACAGTGAAAAATCCCTTTCTCGTTCAATAGAAGCACCTAAATGATTGAATATTAAGAAAGCCTGCCTGAAAACAAACTGCTAAGATTTTACTCACATATTCAGTTCACATTTCTGAGATTTAGTGTTTCTTTTGAACAAAATTTTAACCTTAATGATTCATTTCAGTTGGGCATATTTTTTTTTTCAATGGTGATTAACTTTAGGTGATGCACTACATGCCTCCAGTATCTCTTTATAACCACAATATATCCTATTGGTTGTTTTTCCTTAGCTTGTCTACATTTTTTTCCTAATAATTTACTAAACTGTATCATAGGTTTATCTGATTCAGGTTCATCATGCAGCTCTGTCTCTATTGGCGTCTTCAAGTGCAAGAAAACTTTACTCAGCCAAACGCTTGTACTCTAACTCTGTCCTAGTGATGGTTAAATCGTTCTATATTTAAAACTTTAGCTTTAGACATTTAACAAATGAGAAGGGAGAAGCTCAGTCACAAGATTCTTTGGAATCTTGTTGGAAAAGATAAGGAAACTTTACCAAACCATAAAAACCTGAGGCAGAGCTGTCAAATCGTTTAATTTTCATAAAGAGTTAAATAGTTAAATGTATTTGTCTGATAGGTTAGCTACCTGCCAAGGGCTCTCCCCTTTTTTGCCCACTTCCCCTCCGAGCGTCCATGGCAGCAGACCCTCCACAGGCTCACTGTACTCCGACCTGTGGATCAGAATCTGACCACAAGATGAAGTACCTGCAGGATTAAACGTTTTAACAGATATTTAGGTTGGTTACTTCCAGCGGTGTCAAGTAAGGAAGTACAAATACTCTGTACTCTACTTAAGTACACTTTTTAGGTATCTATACTTTACTCCATTACTTATTTTTCTTCCTACTTCTGACTTCTACTCATTACATTTTCATTTAAGTATCTGTACTTTCTATTCCTTACATTTTTAAAACAAACGCTACTCGTTACTATTTGGTTTAATGTTTATAAATATTTATTTCACCTCTTTCTGTTGGGATCCTGAGGCTTGCCCACCAGAGGGCGCCGAGGAGCCTCTTCTGTTATATGTTTTCTGTTAGGGACTGGGGTTACTGTTGGGATCTGGAGATCTACCATCTGTCTCCAGCAGAGAGCGCTGTGGGTCTCCTGGGCTGGAGCCTCTAGCACACCTGAAGCTCATCAACCCATCAGGAGACCTTTCTACATAAGCAGTAGTCAGACCTTCCTTCGACGGTCTGACTGCAGTGTTGACCAAGTTTGGTTAGCAAACCTGAGCTTCTGTTAATTTTAGAGAATCTTAGTTGGCTCTAGAGAGAAACTAGATTCTAACCTGCCTCTGTCTTCTTTGCTCACAGAAAACCCGACTGAAGTCTGAAGCTCTGGATGAGCTTTGCCTGGAAGCCTGCCTGCGTGCCCAAGGGAGCCAAACCTGAAGATATCAGTCTGGATTCCTCCAACAGCTCTGAAGGAAGAGCTAGGAAACCAAGTCAAGGTCAGAAACTCGCAAGTCAGAAGCTAGACGCTGCTGCTGCTGAGCTCCCTGCTGAATTTACAGTCTCTGGACCCAACCGGTCCCCCCCCCCCCCCACTCAAAGGATCTGTCAGAACCTCTTCAAGATATCAGTGATGGTCAGAAACTCACAAGTCTGAAGCTAGACTCTGCTGCTGCTGAGCTCCCTGCTGAATCTACAGTCTCTGGACCCAACCGGTTCCCCACCTCTCAAAGGACCTGTCAAAACCTCTTCAAGGTATATTCTGAATTAACACATTCGACAAGCAATCTAAACTGCCTGGCTAATCAAACTATCCTTCTCTGCAGAAATCAGTGATTCCAGTCCCGGACCTGTACCAGAACCAGTTCATTATTACTCTGTGTGTTCCTCAATAAACTCTGTTAAACTTTTACTCAGCTTCCTCTGGTGTTCTGCAATTGGGTTAAGTCTCTTAAGCCAATCATGACACTTGTGAGCCATCCAATGCAGATCATTGGCACCATCCACATCTAGTGAAAATTAGTGGAATTGGATGGGTCATTTAATGCAAACACTCATTGGTTAGCTATTCGTCAAATTTGTGCTGACGCCAAAGGAAATCATCAGAAGCAAGCAGGTGTTCTTCAACCTGCATTTATTATCTATGCCATGCTACAATGTCGGATTCAGAAAAAAATGTCTGAATGTCTGAAAGTTCGGACACAGGCGAGAACGTATCTTGAGATGGAGACCAACAAGACCTCCCTCATCCTTTACCAGAGTGTTTTTAAACTGCAGTATCTATACTTCTACTTAAATAACAAATGTGTGTACTTTTGACACCACTGGTTACTTCCTCTTTAAAAAAAGGAAACACCAGTTGATTAAACCTGTATTCTAAAAGCTCTAACGATTAGATTTGTTCAACAAGATCTCCATTAAAGTCCCTCATTCCAGTTGTAGTTAAAGTTGGAATTTTCAAAATTTCTAGTTGACAAAAATCTACTTTAATTCCCCTAAAATTACAATTCTGACTAAAAAAAATATTTTTCACCAACCCTGACCTTTTTTATTTCCACTTCTGTCCGCCTGGAACACCCTAAATTATCCAAACTCATGTTATTGTTTACCATCTATGCACTAACAGGGTAACCTGATAAAAGCCAGATGCGTGTCTAGCTCTGCCTAGCTCCACTCACATACGTCTGGGACACCGCGTTAGGAATTGCCTTTACTGAAGGCTGGGCCTTATCAAAACTCCTTGCATATGATTGGATAAGCCAGTTGTCCGTCATCTTTATCGCCATGCTATTTCAACCACTCACACCGAAGCTAACCCGTGACGCTTCACCTTCAAAGCCGTTCTCTGATGTTCTTTTAATGAAACAATATCAGATAGATTGGAAAACACAGAAATAGCAGCATCAATGCTTACGCTTGCTTCCTCGATGTGAGCCGCCATTGTTGTTGGAATCTCACGGTCGCTTCTCCACTACGTCACATCCAGGAAACACCCGCCCTGCGTCCTGATTGGCCAGACCATAAATTTGGTTGGGGAAATCGCTTTCAATGAGCGGTGTCCCAGATGTATGTGAGTGGAGCTAGGCGGAGCTAGACATGCATCTGGCTGTTGTCAGGTTACTAACAGGGTGCTCCAGTATATAAACTATATATATATATATCATCTCATATCTTTGAGTATTAGGCAGATCCCACTGGTTCCCCAGTTTGTCATTAAAAAAAGGTTATGATGGGTGTGACATTATAGTGACTTAATATTCTTAACTTCAAAGTCAAAATCACAACAATAACAGCTAAGTTTAGCCTAGCACTGCTTAAGCCATGCTGAGGATATTTCTTTTTGCCAATGTCAGTGTTTCTCTACCTACTGCTACAGATGATTTATAGCAGCATTTTTAAATTAGACACCAGGGACTTTGAAGGACATGACAGTTTTCTAAATTCTTGGATAGACAGACAAGCATTGGTTTAAAAATTTTTGGGGAAAAGCGTTCTCTAAATGTTGCATTAAGGAATCATCAGAGCCATCTTATTTTTGTCAGTTAATTTGATGTAGAAATCTGGTTGTTTTTTTTTGCATTCTTACTTTTCGGGCTACACTTTCTGGAGTCGTTCTCCAGATTGTATCCTTTCAAACAGCTGCAGCTCCTCCCCTGGCCGTCCTCGTTTTCCATGCATTCATGGTCACAGTCACCATTATCCACGGTGCAGTTTGTGGCTGTTATATCTGAATGCCAAAAAAATATGGATCTTACAGAAGTTTTCAGTGAGAGTGTAAATAAATTAAAACAATAAATAACAGATAGTGGGGAAAAAAAAGAATATAGTGTTTAAAAATATGAAATTAACACTTTTAATTAGTGCTTTTCATTTTTAGCTTACATAGAGTAATTTTTAGGGCCTAGTTTCTGGTAAATTTGACAGATTCTGTTATTCAGTCGGCAGATGGTGCTACACACCAACCTGGTGTAAACACAGTGGTGGCTAAATAAAATATTACTTTAGAAAAACAGCTTCTTTTTCAGGTAACATGACAGAAACGAAGACCAGAGGGCCTGAAGGTTTTCTTTAAAAAATGTGGAACTTACTTTAGGTGATATGTTATTAAGCAACGTTCACTTTTAGATAGCTTTTCCCGAAACATTTGGCCAACTGTAAATAATAATTGGTGAAATTTCAGCAGATCAGAAGCGTTTTTACTTCAGGCAGCTGAACATGATAAATCACATGCCACTCTGTTTTATTTATGGAATCTGCAAATGTGCAGTTTATTTTATAGGGACTTTATACTAAATTGAAACAAAATTTCTGTAGATTTTGTGCATTTATGTTCACTGTTAGACAAAATGAATTTTGTTCCTTATAAAGGGACTAAAAAATATCCTTTATTCATCAGGGAGAAAATTCCCTTATACCAGTGACACGCAAACACGAAGTAGAAAGATTTAGACAAAGCTAAGAAGAGAAAACATTACAACATAAAAAGACAAAAATACTGTACACAGTTATATAAGATTAAATATACAGCTCAGGAAATATTTTGTCTGTTTTTGTTTTCCAAGGCTTGTTTCTCCAAGAAAATCTAAAGAAAAAGAGTTTTTGGAGGTTTTCCTCCAGTACCAAAGTTCCTTTTGTCTCCTTAAACCCCAGTCGGCCTCTGCAGATGGCCACTCACACTGAGCCTGGTTTTGCTGGAGGTTCCTTCCTCTTAAAAGGGATTTTTCCCTCTCCAATGTCGCTACAAGCATGCTTAATCTAGTGTGAGGGAATGCCTTCGAGTCAATGAGTTGATGCAATCAAGTGGTTTTTCTTAGAAAACTTTAAATCAATTTGACTGTATGATCTGGTTAACTGTGAAGATGATGTACTGTGAATTGGTGCTATATAAATTAACTGAATTGAATTGACTTTTACGTATGTTCTCTTTATGCAGTACTTTTGTTACAGGTGAGGATAGGCCTTAAATTACACTGTCAACACCTCTCATCCAGCCTGATTCTAACTATGAAGTCTAAAACCAGATCTGAACTCCTGAAGTCTTACATCTTGTGCAACAGGTAGAAAGTCAGACTCACTGTATTCGCAGTATTTGCCCTCGTATCCTGGGTAACAGATGCACTTGTAGGTCTGATAAAGATCCATACAAGCACCATGATCACACTTGTGGGACTGACACTGGTTCCCATCTGAAACACAAATCACAGCAGCACAAATCAGGGCTATTATTTACAGCAGCTTTATTACAAAATTTGGTTCAGTAATTAAAATTGTTATTATTTTAAAACAGTTACATTTTTTGGTTTCTAAGGTCAATCAATAATTTGCAGTAAGAGTTTTCTAATCAGAATTGCTCATTGTTATGTAGGTGGGATGAGCTGCAGGGATGCTGCATTAGTGAAAGACTAGGGCAGAAAAAACAGGTTTGGTTTCACTTTGATGCAAAAGCCAAATGTTGGGAACTTTATCAGATCAGCTCAGACTCCAGTCTTTATAGAATAAATCAATGAGCCACAGGATTCTCCAGATACTCAGTTAGCAACCTGTCCTGGAGTTTAAATATACATGAGCAGTCAAAGGATTACTTGTGTGTTGTTTTGTCCACCATTATAAAGTCTGACTTACATATTTTCTTACATATCTTTAAACCTAATTGAAAATGTTAAGACTGATGTTGAAACAACTTACCAGTGTAGACAGTCCAGAACTCCAGCTGGAAAAAAATCAAAACATCACAAATAAAATCCAAATTTGTAAATATTAAACATGTTTGGGCTTGAAGGGCAGGAAAAAGTTCTTGAATTTGTCTGCAACAGTTTGTTTTTTAGTATTATTTTCTAAACAAAAAATTCAAAAATAATCATACTAAATGATAATTTAGTATAATAAATTATTTATTATTACTTTTTTGATTCTTTTGTTATTTGAGTTACTAGTGTGAATTTATAATATTATTTAATGTTACTGTAGGGTATGTAAACTTTAAAGCTCAACTATGTATATGAATGTAATTTTTTAATCATATTTTGTTGCAAATGGTATTGAATCATCAACTTACTGTAGCCTCCCGGGTCTGGAAAATCTCTCTGGCTTCTTCAAAGTCACACTTCTCCTCCACACATTCGCGCTCCATGGAGGGGGGTTTGATCTCCTCCAGGAAGCTATTGGCCCGGCGGGACCGGAGCAGCATATGAGCCTTTGGGGCGTCTGAGAACACTGGACAGACAGCGAGGATCAGACTGTAGATATAAGTCACTTGCTTTATCTCATTGCCTTTTTGTTCTGAGCTTAATTAAACCTGGAAATGTTTTATCTTGATCCTTCAGCTGGATTTGTCTTCTTTTGCCAAATCTGAGGGAAGCTAATTAGACTGGATCCTAAATCCAGTGTTAAACTTCACATTGTCACATCTAAACTTTTATAGGAATGTTATTTATAATATGTCTTCATTAAAAAAATTGAAAGCTTTGTGAAACTGATAGCAGGGCTGCCAACCTTTCACCAAACCTTGGGGGGAGATTTTGAAATAGTTTGGACAGGAAACCCTGTCAGGGTTAGATGAGGATAGCTATAGGTAGGAGGTTTTCGGAGGATTTAACTGAAACAAAGTGGCAAAATGAGGAATTTTGATAGCACAGGAAATGGTACTGAGTAACAATAAGTGGTCTATAGTAAGGTGGGACATTTTTCTCACAACATACATAGTTTTCTATATTCTGGGGTTTTTTAGAGAATTGATACTTGCATCTTAAATATACTTTAAATATACTTGCAACTTAAATAAACTAAGAATTTCACAACTTTGATCTGTAATTATTCTCTGCGGTTCAAGTAAATTAAACAATCGGGAACTAATAAATTATTACTAGATTACTGGCACTGATAGGAACCAGTGCAATCGAAACCTATGCAAACTACACTGTGTATGAATATTTGGGTACTTGGGTCGCTGATCTTTTGAAAAATAAAATACAATGGTTCTTTTTCTTTTTGTGGATCTCCTATAGGTTTGAGAGAAAAACCTGGAAGCTTTAAGAATTAAAATATTTGTGTTGGTGTAATTACTGAGCAATAATTATTTAACTTGTGCAAAAAATTGACTAAAACTGGGACTAAAAAAAGCACCCGGTAAAGAGAAAACAAACCATTGGATGTGATCCTTTTTAGTGTGAGAAATTGGGAATATGGAGTGAGAGTGTTTGAAGACACTGAAATGGATGAGTCTCACTTCCAATGGGTGAGAGTTGACAGCCCTGTAATAGTGTGTCTAAACTCAGTGTGTCCTCTAATCCACCAGTTTAGGACTTCCTGCGGCAGAGGTTTTCTTACTGATCCTTTCAAATCACTGTGGCATAATTTTCATTCATTCTTCTCTTTTAGCTGTTAATTCAAATCTAATCTGCCATAATCTGACTGTATAAAAATGTGGTATACAGAGAAATCAATGGTTGACTGCTGAGGCCCCATGCATCCCAGATAATCATGCTTCCACCACTGAGCACAATGGTTGGTGGTTGGAGTTATATCCAAACAATTCAATTGCCCTGTTTGCTTTAGAGAAGATGTGTTTTTCTTCAACCCATCCAAACAAATAATGCTTCTTTGATCTTTTTCTTTACAATCCTTTATTATCTTTATATTTAAACAGAGCTTCACACTCTGACTGTCGCAGTCTTGGTTCTGCTATGTTTTCTTTTGAGTATTTTGCTGTGGTCCATGTTTTCTGTTTTTATTGGTTTAATTCCAATCTTTTTTTTTTTTTTTGATATATTTGATTTCTTAGGTTTTTATTTTTTGCCCTCTGTTACCTTACCCTCCAGTGTTGGTCTCCTGTTCCCTAGCTCCTTTCTAGAATCCTCTGTTCAGACCTGTTCCCATTCAGCTCGTTAGTCCCCTTTTTGTTCAGTCTCGCATAAATACTCTCCTTGTGCAGTTCCTCAGTACTGGTTTCTTGTCTTAGCTCCTCTCTCCTCGCCTTTCCCTGATCTCTGCATGGTTCTGGTTAAGTTTTACATTTTAAGTTGGATTTTGGATTCCTGCCTCTGTTACCTGTGTTGATTCATTAAAAACTTCAAGAACTCATCTCTGCCTCTCAGCCTCTGCATTTTGGTCCTCGTTTGAGGACCAAAATGCCTTACCAAATCCTGACACTTACATTGGGGAAAATCTGATGGGATTCTAATTTGGTATGGTATGGCTAATTTGGACTGGTAGCTGTGTGAGATGTTTTCCATTTGGGAATAATCTTTCCATCTGTAGAACATTGGGGCTCAGACGGTTTAGGAGTGACCCAATATCACACCCAGATGAATGGATGGAAACAGTTGTTTCTCTAAGATTATTGTTGATGTCCTTCCTACTTAACATTGCTTGGTTCTGTCCACTGAATTTCTAGAACTCCTGCTTTGATCAGGGTTTACGTGGGTTATTAAAAATCATTAAGTCATTAAATTCTTATTTTTTTGTTAGTATTCCTGTTTGTGTGGGTTGTTTTATGTGTTTTCCTCTCTCCACCACCAGGTGGTGCACTGTCCTCGTTGGGCCTCCCTGCACACCTGCGGCTCGTTGGGTCATTACCAGAGGAGCAGTGGGCTGTCTAGCCAAACTGAGATTAGCAGAGTCTAACCTTAGCATTGTTTCTCTGAGTCTTAACTTGTTTTTTGTCTTTGTTCTTCAGCAGGAAGACTTCCTGTGTTACTGGATAAGCCTGGACCTTCTACCCCTGGGAGGATTTACTGAGTCTCACTGAGCAAGGGGAAAACCTCCACATGATCCTTTCAATTCCACTCCTGGAAAACCAAGTGCAGTCCGCTCCTTTACTCCTCTGGGTCCAACGTATGTCTGCCTGTCCGCTCTCCAACGAGTTCCCTCTTCTCTGGATTAAACCCCCACAAACTGGATCCAAGGATAAACCAAGAGCCCCCCAAAGGTGAGTGCCTCTCCAGCAATAATCAAGTCTCAGTCTCTTTTCCCACTGTCCCTGAACTGATCACTGTGATCTCCACGTCAGAGTTTCCAGTTCCGGTTCACCAGTCCGCTGAGTTCCAGCATTGTTTCCCCACAGAGTTCAATCTCCATCAGTGTTTGCTAACCTACAATAAACCTGTAAAACTTTTACCTTTGGTCTCTGAATTCTGAATGCAGGGCTCTTTAACATTTTCCAGGCCAAGGACCCCTATACTGATGCCGAGATGGAGAGGAGACTCCCTAATAATATATTGTATTAAACTGCATTATATCAAACTGGTCCCATAGTCACTCTATTACATATGGAGTCATGTAACGAAAGTAATTTCTCCCTGGGATTATTATTATTAAATTCCTGGTACCTCAACCAGGAATCAGAATGGGTGATTCTGATTCTGATTCCTTTTACTAGTAACTAGTTACTTTTACTGTGGATTAACTCAGTAACTCAGTTACTTTTTGTGAGAAGTAACTATAACTTATTACTTTTTAAAAGTAACGTTCCCAACACTGTATGTTCCCGTTTAAACCCTGTTTGATCGCAACGGTCAGCCTTTTTATGATGATAAATACCAAGCCGCAGTAGATCTGAGTTGTTTTATACAGTTTTAGCTTGCTGTAATGAATTGAATGCTTAAAAAGAATGTTTCAATGTTTCTTTCAATATTTACTTTACAGTTCCTTCTGTCTCCAACTCTGAAGTTTTATTTTTGTTTAAAATATTGATAAAAAACCCACCTGAGAGACTAATGACTGATGCTGACCACAGAGCGATGCAGACCAGCAGATAGAACACAGGGCGAAACATGGCCTCAGATGAAACAGGGTCTTCACCGACACAAAGCAAAGTCGAACACAGTCTGCTGATGGGATGTATGTATCAAAGATGGCTAATAGTGAGGCTCAAAAGGGTACAAAAAGCAAACCACCCATCACTAAGAGTAAATATTCTTCCTGTTGCTTAAAACAATCAAACAGCTGCAGGGGAATATTCCTGCAGTATTGATCTATTTTAGCTGGAAACTCAAAGGCCTATGAATACAATTACAACACGGCCTGTAGTTTCCTGTCTGGAGAACTCCAGGCCAGCTGAGCTTAACAACAACATTTCATCATCACACAGAGATAGAAAGGAAGCTGCTTCCAGAGACACCATATTGTTTTTACTTACAGATGAAGAGTTAAGGCTGTAGGCAGAGACGCTGGTTCTGACTGCTTCGATTGTGTTAATAACTAACTACCTATGTTTGCAGAGGGTCCACAGTCTGCAGCTGAGTTCTGCCAACACTGTCAATACACACACAGCCGCCCCCTTTAACCTCCACCCACTCATCTCTGTGATAGATTGGCATCGTTTGTCCTAAAGCTAATCTAGATCCTTTAAAGATAGTTGGTTTAGCTCAGGAAAAAAAATAGAATTGGATCAGAACTGCAGAACCCCTGATAATCACATAGAAATGTGTAAATTTCAAAATAAATAACTGCATATATAAGTGAATAAATAGAAAATATGTATTTTATTATGAAACAGTCTTATTCTTTTCTGTTTTTTCTTTTATCTCTATTCATTTATGAACATATTTGTTCATTTTCTCCTTTTTGTGGTTATATCTACTTTCATTTATATATTAATTTATTTCTAGTTATTTCTTACCAAAACTGTTTCTGTATTTCTGCATTTGCTCACGTATTTATTTCTGCATTCTTTTCTCTGTATAAAAATGAGGTGGATGCTTTTAACTTTTGTCTCACAATTTGAATCTATGTTTACTGTAAAAAGCAACATTTAGCTCATCAGCTCTGTTGAAGTCCTTGTTTTATGAGCTGAATAAACGACTAACAACTGAAATGAACAAAAAAAGAAACAGAATAGGTCTTTCCTCTTTTCCCAAGAATTTTTCCCTCCACTGTCTCCTTTGCTTGGTCAAAATAAGAGCTTTGCTGAGGTCAACATCTGAAAAAGTCTGCTGGTTTCCCTAAAAGGACAACAGTTTTACTAGTTGACTAACTAATTTATTTTCTCTTAGTTGATAACCTCCATGTGGTGCAAATCAAGCCAATCCACCAGTCAGTCAGTTAGAGGCTGTGATGGAAGTTCACTTTTCAGCCAAATAGCCCAAACTACAACTGAAAGGTTTAGGTGAAACTCATGTTCAAATGGCAAGCCCTAAAAATGTATTTTCCTCATCCAACCCTATTAACACATATGTTCGTTACTATAACTTTCGAGAAAGTAAAAACATCATTGATGGTTGATGGTTTTGTAAGCTCTGAATACTTCTGTTATGTACTGTCTGTTCTCATTTATTGTCCCAAAATTGGGAAATTCACTCTCTGCATTTTTCTCGGGGAGAGCGGGCTGACATTGTGTCAATCCCAGAGTGGCAGTCTGTGGGAATGAGTGAGACTCATCTATAAATTATCAGTCAGATCTCCCTCCCAGGAATGTCCGTCTTCTTGTTCAGTGCAGCAAACGCCTAGATACGATAGAAATGAGGACACCTGGCCTCAGTGGGTAGGTACCACCCACTGTGGAAACCAGGACAATTATCAGGGTTAACTATTCTTCCACTTGTCTTCTTTTATTTTCTCCCAGCTTGGTTTTCAATGGACTTTTAAAGATAAAAGCTGACTCAGGTTAACAAGGAAACGTCTCTAGTTTCCTTGTAAACCTCCTCCTGTCCTTCACTCCTCCTTTCAGAAAACCTGACAGGAGAAGTGGCCTTCCGAGGTCTGACGGTTTCTGGTCAGAAATCAGCTCCCTGCTTGCTGATGTCTGCTCAGAATGATCTCATCTGTTCTCTGTTTAGGAACTCGCATTTTTCCAGCAAGAGATCAGTCTGAAAGGTAAACATTAGTGTTTTATCCTGAAAGGGCTGATTGGATCCACTCTGAATCAGATGGACTGCTGACCTGTCCACAGAGTAACCTGCATCCTTCCTGTTGATCACTGGAGACAAGCATAGGTCAACACATTAGTCAACTCAGGTACATCATCCTATGGCAACTTTTATCTGTATCTATCATCACACATTGACATCAGGATCCAGAGCATAGCCATATGAGAGGGATAAATGTTCTGAGGGGAATTTCATTAGAAGTTTTACATTCAGGGTTAAAAAAAAAACTATAAGAACATAGTTAAAATCATGTCTACCATTCATCACACATGTACAGTATGTTAATGGGTATCATGTGTCCTGCTGGTCCTTGGAGATGTTTTGTCCTCCTTAGTAAAATCTAGGCCTACCGATAAGAAAAGCAGGCTGCACATTGTGAAGCAGCCAGCTTTCAGCTTCTTACATTACTGCATTGTTGAGCCCGGCCCAAAAACACCTTTGTATCTTGTAACGTTTTGTTGTTCTAATGAAAGCGCTGATGTTTTCATAAAGAGTTGGTGTGGTATGTACAAATAGGTCAATTATGTGACTAAATCAGATGCATACCAGAACGCCACATCATAAACATCCAATCGGTAAAAAAGTTTCTCCTTTTGAGTCGTTCAATCCTACTGTTTGTTATTTTGGGGATTTTTTTCACCTAAAAGAAATTGGAAAGACTGCAGATAAGAAAGCTATAGATGCTATTTATCTGAGTAAGCACTGGATCATCCTTCACTTCAGGCACTGTTTCCTTCTCAATTTATCTATAAGGTGGAGAAATAACTGAACAGAAACTAAACCCTAAGGCAGCCAAAAACTAAATATTAATTAATTTACAGTACCCTCTCATGGACCTTTGTCATACCCAGAAAGTCTGGCTCTGTGGAGGACAAAAGGTGAAGTTAGAATATAGCAGATAGAGAAAAAAACAAACCTAGCAGTCATGAATTTATTAACACTAGAAAAAAATCAAAATCTAGATAAGTCATTTTTTTTTCTTAAAATAAATGCATTTGTTCTTGGATTGAGGAGGTAAAAGATACATTTGCCAATGGAGCAAGAAAATTTACATTTAAAATAAGAAAACACAATTGGTTTGTCGTATTTAAAGTGCATGTTATCTAATTATCTTATTTCCACTGGCAAACTATCTCATTTACCTACTTAAATTAATGATAAATTCACTTAATTTAAGACATTTTTACACATTTCTAGATCGGTTTTCCAGTGAATTTATGTGGTTCTTCAGTCTCTGTTCTAATTTAACCAGAATAAGAAAAAAAAACTTAAATGTTGGACTATTTTATTTCTAACTTACAACTGAAGACAGGAACCTGCAAAATAAGCAGGGAAAAATAGACAATGAATTGAGGTCACTCGTGTAACCTGAATGTTACTCATTTAGGGTTTTTGGTTGCTATGTCCAAAACATCTTACTGTAAAACTTTGGTCACTTTTGCTTGTAAGTTTAAAGGAAATAAAAAAGGACAAAAAAAACAACAACTTATAACTGAACACCTGAGGTACCAGGAAATAATATGCAGGATTTCTAGCGAAATGTTGGTGAACGCTTATTTAACAGAACATTCCAGCATCTGAAGGTAAACAAAGGGGATCCATGGTAACACAGACTTGTTTTGTAAAGATGTGAGTATGAAAAAAAGGGTGGAGAGAGATGATGGGGTGATAAATCAAGCAGCGTCTCTTCTTTCGTTTCTGAATATGTTTTTTGCTGTTCCATATTGAAGGAGGACAAACTGCAGGCAGAGAGCCAAGTTCTTCCTCTTCAGGTGGACAATGAAGACACCCCCCCCCCCCCCCCCCCCAACCCCCCCCCCCCCCCATTTGTCCTCACCTTTTTGTCAGTGGGTCTGCCCGGTGAGACAGAACCTGAAAGCGGTTTTGTTCTGGACGACGCCTATAAATGCATCAAAGCCGGGTCGGTCCAGCTCATCTTCCTAAAAACCCTGCAGGTGAAGATGCTGCCCAACTCAGAGAGAAAGGTGAGTTCTTCTCCTCCTAAAACTTGTCAAAGATTTTTATTGTCACACCTGGGGGCAATTGCGACGAGTAGTGACTAATTATTAAATAATATTTCTAATAATTGCTTTTTGGAAATAATAAATGAAAAAAAAAAAACATTTCACGTTAGCTGTCTCATCATCCGCCATCATTAAACCTCCTCTTCCTCCAGATGTTGTCCAGCATGCTGGGAGTCCTTGTCTTGTCCTCCACCTGTTCAGCCATGCTGCTCCGAAACCTGACCAGAAACATGATGCCACCTGAGGAAGGCTCCGGGTTCGACCCCAACACTTTACGCTGGCCTGAAGAGGGAGAGGATTCACCTTCAGTTCCAGCTCCCCAATGGTCAGCTAACGCTCAGCATGTACGCATGCCGTTTTTGCCCTCCGACAACAATATGACCAACAACGGCCTACGGATGTCAGCCACCAACTCACCTCTGATGCCAGAGCCAGATACTTCAATCTGTGACATCATTTTCAGCCAGCCGGTACCGCCCTCCATCGACCAGATCCCATTCTTCTGCATCTGCTCCTACTGCAAAGGAACCATGGGGCCCAAAGGAGACCGTGGGGACCGGGGCCTTCCAGGTATGCAGACTACTTTAATCATATAAATGAAAATCATCAGATTAGGTCTTTTGTGTCTCTTTATACCAGCATATCAGAAGCTGTACACAATTGAGAGAAGTAGTAAATTATGATGATATTAGTCGAGTAGAAACGAAAAAGTAGGGTACAGTAAAACCACTCCTGGAAATAAGGTACTCAAGTCAGTGTAACTGAGTAAATGTAACTAATTTGTAAACGCCCTTGACTGGTAGGAAAAGGATTATTTTATATCTATGCTTTTGCTCGACAGAAATAACAATTGGGGATTTCTTCAAACTTTTGCAATGATATATTTCTATTTTTATATCATTATAAACAGATTAATTTACTATTATTTTTTTGTTGGAATGCAGTACTGCTAATAATCAGAGGGTTGATTCTGAACCATAGAGTTGATCAGAATATCATCATTGTGTTGATATTGATTAACTATCAGATGCACACAACAGATGGTTAAACATCCCTGCAGTCCTTGATCGTTGCAGCAAAGTTTACATTCAGGAATTGAAGAGAAACAGCTTTATTCTCAAAGCTCAGAGCAACAACATACTTATCGGCTAAATAGCGTCACACATGAAAACACAAACAAAGAGTTTCAACAGACATCTGACTAAGGATAGGAACTATTTGGCGTCAAGTTTCAAAGCATGCATTCAGAGCTGGATCTTCTCTGGAGTCTTTATTGTTTTCAGCTCGTTGAGCTGTTCATACCAAAGAATTTTTTTTCTTTCTTATTATTGTCCAATAAAGGAAACTGTTTTTTTGAAAGTTAACTTGACCACCACTTTGATCAGGTCAACCTGGAAGTCCTGGAATGAGAGGAATGACAGGATTCAAGGGTTACCGAGGATTCACGGGCCCCCAGGGAATTAAAGGTAAGTAACATCCATATAGCTTCAGTTACCTTCAAAGGACCTTTATGCTGAAGCATTTAACTTAGTAAAGTAAGATTGAATTGCTTCAGTTTTCTACAGGCAAAACTGCTTTCCTAGAGCTTGTGTTGTATTTTTTACTTCTGTTCCAGGGATCGTTGGAACCCTCTTAGTTGGAGTATTTTAGTTTCTTAACACACTTTTTCAGTCACAGAGGAAGTTAATCATTGAAAATTAGTGCTCTGAATTCTCCCTGTAAGAACCATAACTTACGCAAAAGGTATAAAACCAGAGAAGCACATCCACACCATGCCACTGTCACCACCATACTTCAATCAGAGCCGATATATATTAAAAGTCTTTGGATGTGTTTTATGTTCTAGCTTACCTGAAAACTCCAAACTAAATTGTCCTTTAGCAGATATATAAGGCTGAAAGGGGGATTCCTCATGAACAAAGCCTGTGCAAATTCTCACTCATCTAGGTCATGACAACATGCAGGCAACCAAGACTAATCAAACTGTCTTCAGAGATACTGTGCAAAATTGTAGTTACCTCTGATTTAAGCCTGTTTTATGGTTCATTAATAATGAGGAGCATTACGGAAAACCCTTAACATCCTCTTCATCATACAACAGTTTCTTCATTCAGAGGCTTCAGAGCCGCTTTAATACTGACCTCTACAGGAGATCCTTCTACTTCCTACTAGTATTTACAGCAGCTCATTAAAACTGCTTAATACAAGCTACAGCCACATTTATTGTTCCTTTAGAGAGGAATAACTTGGGCATTGTTAAATTAAATGAATGTTGTGACTATAAAAATTAGTTAAATGGCACTTATTTACACAGTGCTACTGTTCAGATGGAAATTGCTGCAACAACAGCAAATCCTGATGGACATGAGCATTACTTTATTTAATTGTATTATTTTTTTATGTAATTGTATTAATTTTGCATAATGCATAATGGATTAATTGCATTACCATTTACCTTTATATCCATCTGCAGGTCAAAAGGGAGACTTGGGAGAGAAAGGGCAGACTGGTCCATCTGGGTTCACTGGAACGAAAGGCGAGCGGGGATACAAAGGTGTGCTGACAAATGAGTACAAATGATCCATCAGAGTTTCTTACAGACAAAAATGTTTTATTTTGCAACACTGCACGGCCTAGTCACTCACTTTGATTAAATTGTATTGAATTGAATGGCTTTAATGCCACCATTTTCCCATTCCCTCTATTAGGAAGTATCTGGGATCCTAAGATGTAAAAATGTAATTCAGACCAAATGAGTGCTCCATTTTTGTGTTTACAGGTGAGAAAGGTGACCAAGGACTGGCGGGACCTCCAGGCCTTCAAGGTCCCCAAGGAGAAATGGGCACATGTCCTGCCTCTTGCGAGAGTGTCCCAGGTGCACCAGGTCTGCAGGGGCCACCAGGACCAGCTGGGGCCCGGGGCCTGCCTGGGGTCCAGGGAGTTATAGGACCTAAAGGTGGGAAGGGTGATAAAGGGGATACTGGAGTGCCTGGCAATCCTGGAGTGAATGGTCAGAAAGGTGACCAGGGTGAGCAGGGGATCTGTGAATGCACAGATGGAACTGATGGTGCTAATGGGGCGCCAGGAGATAAGGGAAGTAAAGGGGAAAAAGGTGACCTTGGTCCACAAGGTATACAGGGTCCTGTGGGTCTGAAAGGAGATCAGGGTGGTATGGGTCTCATGGGGCCACCTGGTCCCTGCTCCCCCGCCATCCAATCAGCATTCTCAGCATGCATCGACCAATCATTCCCTCCTGCAAACTGGCCAGTACCCTTCCCTGAAGTCATAACAAATGTGCAGAGGCACTTTGACCCAGCCATGGGAATGTACACAGCTCCGGTAAATGGCACTTATGTTTTCTCTTTCCACCTGGCAACCAAGGAGAAGCCACTGAAAGTTGGCCTGTTCCGAAATTTCTTTCCTGTGGTGAGAGTAACAGAAGCATCGAGCCAAGCTACCACCAGCAATACGGTTGTTCTCCATCTGAACATTGGTGATAGGTTATGGCTGCAGGTAAAGGACACCCTTACCAACGGCATGCACACCGACAGTGAAACCAAAAGCACATTCTCTGGCTACCTGCTGCACCCAGATTCCTGCGATGCAGCCTTTGGTAGAGGCTTTTTCCCAGCACTCCCTGCCCCCACAAGTGGCTTTAGCTGGGATGGCCCTGGTGGTCCTGCCACTCCTTAAGCCAAGTAGGCTCCTTCCCCGTCACAGATATTCAGATGCAGTGTCAACAGACAGCCAATCAAATCCTCTGTGTAATCATTGCTGCATGTTTTAAAGGAGGGGTGTTTGCAGAATGTGATGGTTAAAAAAAATACTTCATGCTTATTTCTTTTATTTAAAATTAATAATTTAGAGTTTTGCCGACCTTATCAAGCCTGGTCGATCATATCCTGATTGCTATTGCAAAGTTATCCATAGCTGCAAGTTTAGCCTGTGGCAGGATTTTCTATCGTGTGACTCTTTCATTTGGCACACATTTTTTACATTTTACACCGTAAGTTAAGCCGAATAACATCTACATCTTCTTCTTAGAGTGCATAATTTTAATGTTTTGAATTCAATAAAGAATCAGTGTTTAATCATTTTAGATACAGGAAGATATTTAGCATAAGGTGTAGTGACAGCAGCTAGCAGCTAGGCAGCAACATAGAGAGGTAGACAGCTTTCTGTCCTTTATTGAATACTTTTAAAAAAATAGTAGGGATGCTGGGATCTGATGAATATGAACTTCAGCTATTTAGTAAATCAAACTGACTGAACAGTTCAGAAAAATTATGAATAGTAAACTTCGACAGTCAAATTTGAATGAATATTGAAATTATCCGACTTTAAAGCGGTTCATTCTCAGAGACCTTTTAAAAAACATGAAGAGTTAGTAAAACTGTATGAAGAGGAAACTAACATGACAAGAAGAAACAGGTTTGAAACTCTCCTCCTTTCAAACGTCTAGATGAACTCACTTCTGATTCAACACTGCGTCTAATGTAGGCATTCAGTCGGCCCCTAAATAAAGGCGTAGATTATCCAGCTGGCTGAAATGTTTATTATTTTTGAGGTTCAGTTTTGTTCCATCATAAAACACTTTCAAAGCACTTTGCCCATGTAGAGTTGATTTGCAATTATTTGTTAAAATCAGCCTCATTTTTTAGCTTTATTATCATTTTCTTTTGAGACAACAAATGAATAAAAACTGAGCAAAAGCTTCAATGTTGTTTTTAGACATTACCTAAAGTGTAAATTTGTTCTGTGACTGCTTTAAAAAAAAAAGATTTATGTAACTGACTAAAGCACCTGATTCAAAGGGAAGCGCCTTCAAATATGGAGCTGAGTGTGAAACTGACTGAAAGAGAGGATCATTTGAGACAAACTCACTGATCATAAGTGAGAGACTCCTGTTCTTTTTGGTTTGTTGTAGCACTTCATTCTTCAGGTAATTCATCTGAGGGTGTGAAAAGGCAAAATGTTTGGATCACCAAAGTAAAAGGAACACTAAAACAAGAGATGCTGCATTTTTGTGTCTTTATTCAAATACAAACCAAGTCTATGGGTCCCCTGCTGAGTTTTTGAGGTAATTTCCCAAACAAAGTTTCCTTCATTTGGCTGCTTCACGCTAACCTGTTCCAAAGAATCCAATTGGAACATTTTACAAAGCAGAAATCCTAAAGAAATGAAGTATTCTTTTATGAACATAATTGAAGTCATGTTCAATTTGTGCGTTTTTAATCCAAAAGATTTCAGATTAGAAAACAGAAGCACCCTGAAATGTGATAAGAAACTCCAGTTTTAACCATAAATGTAGAAAATCCAGAGGGAAAAATATTAGATTTCTCAAATCAGCAGAGTGTTAAAGAGGTGAAAATAAAAGCAACAACAGGAAAGAGTCCAACAGCTTTTATTGTTCAATCACAGGACAAGGCGTCTTAGCCTTATGAAGCTGCAGCTCTCAACACCAACGTTTCTATGGCTACTAAAAACTGAGCTGCAGGAAGAACATGCAGGTGAGCTTTAAAAGATCGCCTAAATGAAAAAAAAAAAAAAAAAGACTGTAGCTGTTTGAATCACATTAAATCCTGACTGCTGATGAATCAAATTGCTAATGGTAGCAAAAACACTAAAAATACTTTGGAACACACAGATAGGAAATTGAAGTTAGAGTAGAGAGAGTTAAAGAACAATTTAGCTTTGGTGTGCATTAAAAAGAAGGACTTCAGGTGGGAGCTCTCTGTATTTTTACCCATGTTGGGGTTCCACTTTGGATAAAATTAGTCAAACCCCATCGATGTTTGCTTGAGTGGACAATCTATTGGCTATCCATCCATCCATCCATTTTCTGTCACACTCTTTGTTTACTGGCATATATTGACATCCCAAGCGGGTTGCGAGTATTGCTGGTGCCTCTCCAGCTGTCTACGGGTAAGAAGCGGGGTACACCCTTCACAGGTCGCCAGGCAATCTACTGGCTAGAATACAAACAAATGTAACCACCCAGGACGAAGCGCCAGTGCAAAGTCACCACTACAGTCAGGCGGCACCAGAGCATCAGACAATTTGTGTAAACAGAGGAGTCTTAGGAGAAACATCAGACAGCATTATCAGGTTCTCCAATAGGCTGGGTGGATTTGTCGTAACATGCCTTTAAATCAACATCTCCAGTCAGGATGTTGACCGAAGTTTCCAAATGTTGGGGAATTCATCTTTACCTGTGGGCTGTTTTTTTCAGAATTGAACTTAAATGGGTAGATTTATTGTTTAAAGATAAAATGCAAAATGTTTGGGGTTCTTTTCTTCTCAACTTCCACCTATCCTCTAACAATTCACCACAAAGATGATTGTTTTTGTGTCTTGCATGAATATGTGCTTGACATTAAGTTCCTCAAAGTTTTTTTCATTTAAGTAGGGCGACAGTGGCGTTGGATGTAGGAGTTTGCCCTGAAAATGAAGGCCAAGCCCTGGCTCTGACTGTCATTGTTGTTGTGTCCTTGGGCAAGACACTTCACCTGCAGTGTCTACTGATGGTGGTCAGAGGGGCCGGTGACGCCAGTGTACGGCAGCCCCGCTTCTGTCAGTGAGCCCCAGGGCAGTTGTGGCTACAATGTAGCTTGCCATCATCAGTGTGTGAGTGAATGGGTGAATGAATGTAGTGTAAAGCGCTTTGGTCAAGTCTCCTGACTTGAAAAAGGCGCTATGTAAGTACATGCCATTTACCATATAATCTTTGGCAGAGTTAATTTTTTGTTACACCTATAAAATTTGCAGAACTGAGACATGGTTTTAATAAAAGTGTGTTTATGCTCTTCTGTAATAAAACCTTTAGGAACTGAAGTACTTTTCACTCAACAAATAACATCTAAACAGCCCTTCATTAAAGGACCTTTTCTAGAACCACCCCTCTGCCATCTGTCCTCTACTTCTCTTTTGGCCCCATGTCATCCCCGCCCGACACGTTGCCTTCCTCATCATCATCATCACCAGCTCCAATGATCCCCTTCAGGTAGGAGCGCTTGAATTCCTGGAACACAAGCTCGTCCTCCATCTCACTGGGAAAAGAAGGAACATCTCGGTAACAGCTTCACAGAGAGACAAACTCAGATAAAATGGAGCCGTCTTTATATATTAACTATCGGACATGTTTCAGGTGTGAAGTCAGAAAACTTTGAGGAAAAATAGAAACACAAAGAATCACAAAGTTTCTGTGAATTAAAGAAGAATCAATTTGGACCCAACAGCAACTGTCAAGGCAATTATATTTATTTATGCCTTCAAGCCCATTCCATTAAAAATGTGTTCCCAATCTGTCGTTATCTCCTCATAGATGACCCTGCCAATAGTTGGTTTCTAAATTATTCATCATTCTCTAAAGTTCAAAGGTCGACACTGCAGGCTGTACAGACCAGTATTATTAACAGTCTTGTTCCACATTGTGCCTCTGAACAAGACTTTATTTAGTCTCTGCCCTTAAATGTCTCTGTACTTCTTGGTCTCGGTTGATGCCTTCACTAAAACACTAATCCCCTCACACAGGAACCACAGCCCTGGATTCAAACCCAAAACACCTAAAACTTTTTTTTTTATATTTTCAAAGTAAATTGATTTGTAGGTCTTCACAATTTTTGTTTACTGGCATATATTGACATTTGAAAAGGAAAAAAAAAAAAGCCAAATGAGATGACATTTAAATGAAATTAAATAACAAATATCATGGCTTAATTTTTGGCCTAATTTTCTGAATAAAAAAAACCCCAAATATCAGACATCATTTAGACCTTGGTTTTTAGGCTAAATCTGGTCGGTCCATCTAGTCTTGATTTAGTCCAGAAATAGTCGTTGAAAACTGGGCTGTGTTTGGTCTGTGTGAAAACCCAGTTTTTTTTATGTCTTTTCAGTTATTTGAGAAGTACGGCTTTCCAGCTTTCAGTTTTCTAACAAATCTAGAAGTCATTTAGAAGTAAATTGTGTTGTCTTTTCAATGTCTTTTCAACCATATATAGACGTTTTTTGGACATGAGCATGAGTAGCAGTGAAAGAATGCTGCTAAAAAGACAGGAGATGATGAGACCCAATCCTATCTGTGATCATCTGAATTAAAGCCACCAGTTGAACAGAAATGTTCTCCTCAGCTGTTCAATTAGACTGAATACTCTCATAGTTACCTCTCCTTGACTGTCGGCAGCAAGAAAGAACAAACAAAGGGTTACCAGTGAATGACATTGGATGTACAGATGATTTTTACATAACATTATTTGAGAAGAAAGTTCTACCTGCGTCTGGTTTGGGATGCATCAGTCTAAAGGGAACCTCCAGGCCGACCTCACTGCAACGAGAAAAAAAATCTTGATTTCTGTTTAAATGACAGTAGTTATAAAAATGAGTCAGAGTTTTCCTCTAGCTTAAATATACTGTATTATATTTAATAAGACATTCTCAGAGAGGATAACTCTGCTGAACTCACCTAGATCCCATCATCCTGTCAGCATGTTGGAGATAAACATAAAAAATAGATTACAGAACAAAGCCTTCAGAAAAAATGAAAACCCCAAAACAAGACCAAGAGCAACCACAGAGCTCCATAATGTGATTTAACCAGGTGTGAAATAATCAAACACTTATTTTCCTTTGTCTTTTTTGTTCTGAGCACCAAGCCATTGCTCCACGTCCTCTGATAGATAAAATGCTGCAGCGGCTGTCTAAGGTCGACTAGAACTCAACACCTAACAACACTATTATGACCCCAGTCCAAAAGGTTGGGTGGTCAGATCTTCAGGAGCTTTTTTCTAATTCTCTCTCATTGTGGATAATTTATTTCTAAGGAAACTCAAAAAGGGAAGACTATAATTATTTCCTAGTTGAAAAATAACTTTAGTTTATTTAACTTTTCTTCTTCTTCTCTCTGTAGATAACTTTGGTTCACCTGAGCCAATAATAGTAGGACTATAAGCCCACATATGTCAGGGAGGCTTAATATTGCTTATTCCTTTTGATCCTGCAGCTTGATTCAGAGAAGTTATGCGACTGACTGGTAAAAAAAGGCTAACCGATTGGCTTCAAAAAATTAATCTGATCCTATGCAGTTAAACTCTGAGGCATCATAGGGATGGATTTATATCCTGAAATGTTCCTGTACGTTTTATTAACTTTTAGTTTCCTCAGACGGACAAATTTCCCTTAGCTTCTGAGAACTTTGTATTTGTTTATTTTGTCTGTTTGCTTAAAAAAAACACTCACATTTTAGATTAAATACAGAAAAAAAATAAAATACTGACCCTCCAACGATGAGCTTCACCATAACTTTGTATGACACCATGATTCCAAGAACTTCCTTCTGAAGTCCTTCCTTAATGCTGTAAATCAACACAAACAGTTGAAATCCTGCAGACAGAGAGGTAGAGGCTTGCTGCAGAGAGGTGACGTCCTGCTCACATGCTGGATGAGGCCAGGTTGGTATCTTCATGCTTCAGTTTGCCATCCAGAGCAATGCCCCTCCTCTCCCTGTTGTTGGCCAGCAGCGGCAGCAACTTGTAGACTTTCTGCAGCGTCGCTCCGGCGGACACAGAATCTCTGAGATAGAACCAAAATAGGGCAGAGTTAGACAAAGACCAGGGAGAGCAGCAGTTTCTAAACACACAGAGAAATAAGCAAAGACACAAAGATTCAGATGTTTTTAAATTATTTATTTAAACAAAATAGAAAATTGAATATCTGTTTTTTTTAATAAGAAATTACCATTCAGAGGGTTAATGGTTTAACTGAATTTATGGAACTAAAACTCAGCTATAAAGGGAAATAGGGTTTCTATTTCTATTTTTAGGTTTCCCGGGTTTGTTTTTGTTTTCTTTTTGAGGACACTTGCCTTGAAAAAGCTTTCCCCAGATTCCCCTATAAAAATAAATGGCTTTGAGAACATTTTCCTCTGAGAAAATGTCGATAAGATATGAGGTGAAATGATAGAATGACTCACAGCTTCTGACTTTAAGGAGTTAGATATTTTTACAAAAACACAAGATGGCAGCATTTTAAAGTGATGTTTAAAAGTGTCTCCTCATGGCTAACAAGCTGTGTCCTGAGCCCCCTGCTGTTCACCTTGAGGACACACGACTGCGTACCCAGGTTCAGCACCAGTCACATTGAGAAGTTTCAGGGGCGGATCTAGAAAAATATTTATGGGGTGGCCAGAGGGGGGCAGGAATTTTTGAAGGGGTGGCAACATATGGCATTTGTTTACACTGAATTTAATCACAGTTATCACAGTTTGGTGAGAATAGTATGTACAGTAAATGTTTCATGTGAAACAGTTCTTATTAGAAATACATCATACAATGTGATCTCACCTAATAGGAGATAGAAGAGTGATAACACTACTTCTAGAGGGGTATTATCACAGGAAAGGTATTAAGGTAAGACACAGGTGCTGAGTCGCAGATGTTTGAAATTAACTGTCAGAGATGCAGCTTTACAGCATTTGCACAAGAAGAAACTATAGAAAGACAAACTTACCCAGCAGAGATCTATGGACTGAGCTGTACTAAAGTGAGCATAACTACACAGTAGAACTAAATGGGTCAAGGCACCCAAACAAGGTACCGGACATTTATGTATTGTTTACTCTGAACACACATTTTTTCCTGAGTAACTTGACATACAGCAGTTAAGGCAACATGAAAGGGACATTTCATGCATGTAAATATGCTGTAGATAGAGCTGCTGTATCAACAAATCAACAAAAAGGCAGGTACTGTATGTTACATCAAAATCTCCACAAATCTGAAAAGAAGAAACATAAAAATACATTTTGCTTCCAGTATGAAAAAGTACAAAACATTTTGTGAGTAGGTTCATACAGGTCATTTCTTGGATAGTTTCATACTATATATACAAAAAAAGAAACAATAACACTGCTTCATATTAAGCAGGATTTACACAAGTATCACATTTTTAACTTTACTTTACGCTTTTAACAAACATCCATCCATCCATCCATCTTCCTCCGCTTATCCGGGGTCGGGTCGCGGGGGCAGCAGCTTGAGAAGGGAGGCCCAGACTTCCATCTCCCCAGCCACTTCTTCCAGCTCTTCAGGAGGAACCCCAAGGCGTTCCCAGGCCAGCCGAGAAACATAGTCTCTCCAGCGTGTCCTGGGTCTTCCCCGGGGCCTCCCCCGGTGGGACGTGCCCGGAACACCTCACCAGGGAGGCGTCCAGGAGGCATCCTAAACAGATGCCCAAGCCACCTCAACTGGCTCCCCTCGACGTGGAGGAGCAGCGGCTCTACTCCGAGTCCCTCCCGGATGACCGAGCTTCTCACCCTATCTCTAAGGGAGAGCCCAGCCACCCTACGGAGGAAACCCATTTCGGCCGCTTGTATCCGCGATCTCGTTCTTTCGGTCATGACCCAGAGTTCATGACCATAGATGAGGGTAGGAACGTAGATCGACCGGTAAATCGAGAGCTTCGCTTTTTGACTCAGCTCTCTCTTCACCACGACGGACCGGTACAGCGCCCGCTTCACGGCAGACGCTGCACCAATCCGCCTGTCGATCTCCCGCTCCCTTCTTCCCTCATTCGTGAACAAGATCCCAAGATACTTAAACTCCTCCACTTGGGGCAGGACACCCCCCCTGACCCGGAGAAGGCACTCTACCCTTTTCCGGCTCAAGACCATGGCCTCGGATTTGGAGGCACTGATCCCCATCCCGGCCGCTTCACACTCGGCTGCGAACCGATCCAGCGAGAGCTGCAGATCACGAACTGATGAAGCCAATAGGACCACATCATCTGCAAAAAGCAGAGACGCAATCCTAAGGCCACCAAAACGGATCCCCTCAACACCTTGGCTGCGCCTAGAAATTCTGTCCATGAAGGTAATGAACAGAATCGGTGACAAAGGGCAGCCCTGGCGGAGTCCAACTCTCACCGGAAATGAGCCCGACTTACTGCCGGCAATGCGGACCAGACTCTGACACCGGTTATACAGGGACCTGACAGCCCGTATCAAAGGGCCCGGCACCCCGTATTCCCGGAGAACCCCCCACAGGGCCCCCCGAGGGACACGGTCGAACGCCTTCTCCAAGTCCACAAAGCACATGTAGACTGGTTGGGCGAACTCCCATGCACCCTCCAGGACCCTGCTGAGGGTGTAGAGCTGGTCCAGCGTTCCACGACCAGGACGGAAACCACACTGCTCTTCCTGAATCCGAGGTTCGACTATCCGACGGACCCTCCTCTCCAGCACCCCCGAATAGACCTTGCCGGGGAGGCTTAAGAGTGTGACTCCCCTGTAATTGGAGCACACCCTCCGGTCCCCCTTTTTGAACAGGGGGACCACCACCCCAGTCTGCCATTCCAGGGGGACTGCCCCCGATGTCCATGCAACGTTGAAGAGTCGTGTCAGCCAACACAACCCCACAACATCCAGGACCTTGAGGAACTCCGGGCGGATCTCATCCACCCCCGGGGCCCTGCCACCGAGGAGCTTTTTAACCACCTCGGCGACCTCGCCCACAGAGATTGGAGAGCCCAGTCCAGAGTCCCCAGGCCCAGCTTCCTCAATGGAAGACATGTTGGTGGGATTTTAACAAACATCCAAAACAAAATGTAACAGCTCTGTAAAGGCTCACCATAGAGCATAACATAAAGTTGACATGACTATAACACCTGAATGTTGTGATTTCCATGTTACTCAGCAAAACGCTTCACAAATTTATTTAGATCCAATGCCTTTGTGCGTTTTGATTCAATGCTGAGTACAGCCAAACTTGATAGTTTCTTTTCTGTCATAGTTGACCGAAAAAATTTCTTTATGAGCCTGAGACATCAGGCCTAATTAACATCATAGTTAGAGAAATAACGTTCTGCAACCTGATTTTTATCATCTCAAAATCTTCATTGTAGTTATGCTAGAAACATTGTGCTTTCATTGTGCTTTAATTTCTCGATAAATAGTTAATCAGCTTTTACTTGTTTCATTCCGTGTCTCCTCTCCCCATCACCCCCTGGCTCCCTCGCTTTGCCTCACTCAGTTTTCAAAAACAAATCAGTCTCAGTCGCTCTTGCGTCATCTCGTGCTGCATTCACTACAGTCAGTGACATTGGAAATTAGCGGTCGTAATTCTCAAATTATCCATAATTCATAAGCCTCGCTACCTCTACCGCCAACTGGGGTGGCAGCAGGGGTGGCAAGGCTGTCATTTAGGTTGGCATTTGCCACCCTATGCCACCCCAGTAGATCCGCCTATGAGAAGTTTGCAGACGACACCTCGGTGGTGTGCCTCATCAGAGACGACAACAACCTGGACTATAAAGAGGATGTCAGACATCCTCACCACCTTCTACAGAGGCACCAAAGAGAGCGTTCTGACCAGCTGTCTGACTGTGTGGTGTGGAGGCTGCAGCATCGCAGACTGGAAGAAGGTGCAAAGAGTAGTGATTTGTTCCCCCTGCTGCCCCCTGGGAATAGGCTATGCAGCATTTAATACAGGTCCAGCAGGTTCCGAAGCAGCTTCTTCCCCACCGCCATCAGACAGCTGAAAGTTGAAAAAACTCAAAAATCATGTCACAGACTCATTTTTTTGCACAATGTTTTTTCTCCCACAATGTAAACATTTGATCACTGAAGCACTTTTAAAAAATGGAAATGTCATGAGATCTGTACCAAACGAAATTTTATTTTGTATGCACTCTGTGTATACAAGATGACAATAAATGTTGTCTACTGTAAGTCTAAGTACAATTGTTAGTAGTAATTTTGCAATACCTGATAAGGGCACTAGATGGAGCTATTTACTTTTCTCAAGCACTAAAGAAGCTTAACCCCTTGCTCACACTGGCTCCGGTTACCGAGCCGACTGAGACCGCAACTCTCGCACACCCCCTCTCACACCGCCCTTTTGACTATGGTGCGGTGTGGCTCTGCGGCTCCGGCAACAGGTCCGGAGATTTAACTAGCGAGAACAGAAGTTCACTTGAGTTCACGTAACTTCACGCGATAACACGACCCAAATAAGGATCTTGTTGCGGAGGGCTCCGGCACGCCGCAAGGATAGCTTTCTTGCAGAATTTTCTGCAACGCCGGAGTGTCTCGATTAACCGCAGCCGGGCAGCTCAGCAGCCGGTGAGAGAGGTTTACGTCTTTTTAATGACTTAGAATCACTGCGGCGCCGCACCCACCGCACCGCAACGGTAAGTCGGTGTGAGCCTGGGGTAAATCTGTGCTTCTCTGACCTACTTCTTGACAACAATATAAACATATTTAACGCTGATCTTTCTGGCTGCTGGTGGGTGAAAAGGCCAAATCTAGCAGGTTTAAAATGCAAACTGTAAACAGCCTTTAACTATGTATTAAAGTGTAATGACAGAAAAAACATTTTATTACATTTTGATTAAGCTTAAATACTTTTTAAAAGATATTTCCAAATCCCTTTCTTTGATTTCATGGGCCCACAGAGGAGACATGGCCCAAACTGTGGGAGCCAATGACATGCAGTCAAGAGCAAGTCTTGTCTCCATTGACACATTCCTGAGTTCAACTCTTAGCAGGAAGCAGCGCTTAAAACATGTCAACGTCATTTGACCCCATTTTATTTTCCAGCAGGTGTAACATATGGCTCACATTCTATAGCTATTCATGGCTTCCCTGCTAATAAACTGAGATCAGCTTTATAATAAGATTATATTAGAAGGTATTATTTGCTGCTTTTGGTGGTAAAAAAGCCAACAAACCCAATTAACTAAACAGTAACTAAAACACAATACAAGTAAAGGATAAAATGCCAATTAAAACTTAAGTAAAATGTTTATTAGCAGCCACTTATATGTTTAGTTTATAAGCAACAAGTGCCCAACAGAATATTTTATTATTAGTTAACACTTAATTAACAATTAGTTCATAATTTCCTCCTCAGTTTCTATGTTTTTATAAACAAACTCTGAGTATATTTTAAATGATATTTAAAGTTTATCATAAATGAATCATAACATTTAACTGTACACAACATTAAAGTTAAACTAAGTGTTAATAAATCACAAATTGACTGTCAAAGAACAGCTCCTAAATGAACTGTTCTCATTAACAACTAGTAAATGATAGAAAATCAACTAAAATTCATTATTAGTAAATTCTAATGTCCAACTGGTCTATGATTTGTTTTTTCTTTTGTTCTATAGCTAAGGAATATTTACGTCATTCAAGCTTCTCCATTTTACAGTTCATCACAGACGGCATGTCATTTAAAAACCTGCTGAGCTTTAATCAATTTTGCAGTAGATTGCATCAATGATTTTAAAGCCTTTTACTCCTTTGGTACCAAACAGGACACAGCTGGGTAGTCATTAGGGTTTTTTAAATCATGGATCGTTTTACAGAAACATTTATCACATAATTCATTCACTGGATGATTTGATTTTGTGTGAAGGTAAAACTCTAAATGCATTGGCAGCTTACATGACATTTTACCGAAACATAAGGTATTAAATAAAGACACAGAACTGAGTAGATTTTAAGGTTTCAAACTGAAAAGAACCTCATCTAGTCTTCAAATAGATGTTCTTGTGTGGAACGGTCTTGATTATAACTTAGAAGGGTTTTGTGTACACTTATCTCCGTGGGTAAGATCCTTAGAGGGAGTTCAACTCCAGTCCAGAAATAAGGGAAAACTCTGTGTGTGAAGGGGTGTGTGAAGGTGTGGACGTGTGTGTTAGCCTCGGAATTAAAGAAGGACAGTTTCTTTCTGTCCAGGTCCAGCTCCACCCTGATCTTCTTCAGGTTTTTCACTCCGAGCAGCGGACAGATTTGAGGTGGAGACATGGCTGTGAGTTTGTTGTCACACAGCTGGATTCTCCACAATCCTGACCATAAGCCTCCGTTCCTCTGTACAGAATCTTGCAACACGCCCAGTTCCCATCTGGGCTGGTTTTCCACATCCACCTTCCAGCTGCGAGTTCCCGAGCTGAATCCCTCGGATCCCAAGACAGCACAGAAACCTTTGATCCTCTCTGGGTTTTCAGGCAGCTGCCGTTTCCCCCGACACCTCACAGTGGTCAGTTCCTTAGACAGGATTAATTCTGGGTTTGCCATGTTTGGGTCCAGAATGATTGGAGTGTAGGAGACTGTGTCTTTCATGTTCTTCCAGATGTTAAATCCTAGGTTACCCAGATGTTTGGCAACATCAACGAGAGCCCCAGAGGCCAGCTGGGGGTCGTCCAGCTGGGGGCAAAGCTGCACTCTGTCCATTCTCATCTTGAAGTTTAGAAGGAGTGAAACATCTGAAGCCCTCAGCTCCTCCTCTGTGGCTCTGATCGCTTCCAAAAGAGCCGACATCTCTCTCCTCAGTGTTTCAATCTTCTCCTTTATCATCTGACTCTTCTGCTTCTCCTCCTTCTTCAGAGCACACACCTTGACTTCTTCCTCCAAAAACTTGTGCAGCTTCTGAAACTGCAGTTTGATTTGCGTCTCTGAGTTCCGGGCCTGGACCTTGATGTGCTCCGCAGTTTGACTGAAATGGACTTTTACTTGATCAAAAACCTTCATTTTTTCTTCATTTTTTCCTTTATGCTCTCCTGAAGCTCCTTTCTGTCCTGTTGAGCAGCTTCATCGATGGGTCTGAACCTGTGACTGCTGTGTTTTTCAGAATCTCTGCAGACAACACAGGCCAGTTCCTGATGGTCCAAACAGAACATTTTGAGTTTCTCTCCATGAAGGCTGCAGAGATCCTCGCAAATCTTCTGGATTTTCCTCAGAGAGAAACTCTCACAGAGGTTCTTTAACACCAAGTTGCAGAGGGCTTCCCTCTCCTCTGAGATGGTTTTACACAGAGGACACTCCCGGATCGTCTTCTCAGTCCACCAGTTCAGCAGACAGGCTTTACAGAAGCTGTGGCTGCACCGCAGGATGACCGGATCTCTGAAGGTCTCAAGACAGACGGGACAGCGGAGATCTTCCTGTACTTGGCTTGCCATTCTGTCTATAAGGAGAGCTGAGAAAAATGCAGCTCATGTGGAAAACTAGAATAAATCAACCCGAAACTTCAGATGTCTCCTTTCCATCTGAAAACATCCAACTGCAGATCTGTTGAAACTTGCAGGCTGATAGTAGCCGAGGTTTTAAACACGTCTCACTGGATCGCGGTTTAGTCTCAGCAGAGGCGGAGAATTTTTCAGCTAAACTGGTTGATCTTCCATTTCATTCTATAGTTTCTGAACATGTAAACTCCGTTACAAAACAACCCTTTGAAATATTACTTTTATCCTTTTTTAGACACACTCACACTTTAAGCAACAGTTTTTAGAAAAACTAACAAACAATCGAATCCAATTAAAGAGTTTGGCCCTAAGTAACATGATCGGTACTGTCAGTGAAGGATGCCCAAATGTTACAGAACCTGCAAATCCACCGCATGAATGTTACCAGCTGGCCCTAAAAACGCCTGATAAACATCTGATAATCTGTTTTCAACTGATTTTATCTGTCCAGTTATAAAAGTAGGAACAACAACAAAAAACTTTGTTTACTGAGACTTTTAACTCTTTAAATTGTCACCTGAAAAGCAGACCCTTATAAAAAATTTTAAATATTTTTTTTCCAGTGACTTATCTATAAAAAAAACATTTTCACAAAGTTTTACAAATAATCTAAAAATGAAGTTCTAGCATCAACACATACAATTAATCCATCCATCCATTATCTGACATGCTTGTCCCAAGTGGGGTGCTGGTGCCTATCTCTAGCTGTCTACGGGCGAGAGGCGGGGTACACCCTGGAGAGGTTGCCAGTCCAGGTTGTCAAAAACACTCAGTGGATTGAGGTGCCCTCAGGTGTCAGGGAGGGCATTCCACAGATGTGGACCATGGATGTATTCATGTGTGAGAAGGGAATTTTTCAATCAGTCCTGGTGGAGGTGGGATGCCAGTGTATTGAATGGAGAAAGGGGGTAATGTTCTTATGTTTCCACACTCTCATCAGGATCCTGGCTGCAGAGTTTTGAATATACATGTACTGAAGCCTCTGCAGACTCTTTCTAAGGATCCCAATGAGAAGTGCGTTGCAATAGTCCAGTCTGGAGGAGACAAAGTATGAACCACCTTTCTGTTTCTGGGAAGGAGAGGATGGGACGGAGTTTGGAAATGTTAAGGAGATGGTAGAAAGAGGTCTATATGTGCTTCAAAAGTGAGTTGGGAGTCCATTTTTTTACACCTTTACTAACTGTTGATGAGAGTGGGATATCAGTACCAGAAAAGTTGCTGCTGGTTATGGATAATGATTTGTTTGGTGAGAAGTTCCAAACAGGATGGCTTCAGTTTTGGAGCTTATTGAGTTAAAAAAAAAGTTTTCTAATCTACAAATACAACAAATGGATTTATAAACAGGAAAGCAGATAATAAATAATCTAACAATTTGCTTTGTGATGGGAAATCTGTTTATACTAAATGATAAACATGAAAAATGAAATGTGATGTTACCATCTATCGTGACATGTAAATGCGACCATAGAGGTGCTCATCATTCGGACTTCACACACCTTTGCTTATAGTTTATTATATTTAGAGAATAACTTATGAGGTTAAAAGTCCAGAATTTTGATGTTTAACTTGTTCAAATCTATGGAGGACCAAGAAAGTGACTAAAAAAATAAAACTATTTCAGATTAAACTTTAAATCATGCATTAGAAACCAAACTTAAAAGGGTTTTTAAGTACAAATTTTAAACTGATTTATGAAAGACGAAATAACAATACACTGAGTGACTGGAAGATTAAACATAAATGTATAAATCTTAGATCTAACTACTCAGTGTACAAAGAAATTTTTTTTCTTTTCTTTTCTAAGCAGTAAGAGTAAATTTCCTTTTGTCAGAGTTTTTGTTTTTAAAATGAAGTAAAATCTGGGTGGCACTTTTAAAGGTTTTTTATATTAGAGCAATATTTTGTGTAAAATATCATTTTAACTGTTGTAGAAAAATTAACAGTGAAGGGTTAGAAAAAAGACCCTGAATTCAAAACAAAATTTATAAAGTCAGTTGATGAATAAAGGAAATAGAGCATAAAGATTGTCTTTATATACTTAACCCCCCACCCCCTTACCAGATTGGCCAAGCTTGTCTGGTAGGGTGCATGACTGTAAAACACACTTGGATGAATCACATTACGGAGGGTGGGCCCAAAATGTAAAAATGCTCTTTGTAACAATAACAGTCTGCAACGGAGCAATATTTCAAAGATGCCCTTTATCATGTCCCAAAGGGGCTTTTTATATCCTTAAGATGTCAACAAGTTGGCCACTTCCATGAAAGAAAATCAAAAAAAGTTTTAGTGTCATATCCAGAATGATCTGATTAGTTATAACCTGTTTCCACCGACTCTGTTAGTCTCACCATTGAAATAGGTCTCTACAGTACCAGCTCCTTTCCAGACTAATGTTCATGACGCAACTAAGTCTGGCTGGCTAGGCTACATATTATCTAAAAGAACAAAGTGTCTGTTTAGCAGGTTTGGATATGTTGTGTTGGGATCTGGAGGTCTGTTCACCTTTCTCCAGCAGAGGGTGTCCTAGGTCTCCTGGAGCCGAAGCTGACTTCTACACCTGCGGCTCGTTAACTCATCAGGAGACCAGCATATAAGCAGTGGCAGCGCAACACTCCAGTGCCAGAGTGTTAAGCCAGTTACGGTTAGCAAGCCTGAGCCAACCAACCTGTCTGATTCTCTGACTCCCTTGATACCTGAACTTGAACCTAACCAGTTTTGTCCTCTCTGCTTCTTAGAAAGAGCCAAACTGAATCCTGAAACTCTGGAAGAGTTTCTCATCAGAACTACCTGTCTGATCTCTGGAGATCCTTGGATGTTTAAACTGTCTGAACCTGCCTGCCCGCTCTCAAGAAGAGAACTGGAGATAACCTCTGATCTGAACACCGAGAAGTCTGAAGTCAAGCCCTGCCACTGCCAAGCCCTCTGCTCACCATCTGCCTCTGGACCCTCCTGGTTCCCTGCCTCTACCGCTCAGTCAACAACTGAACAGGTACAGACCTGCATTATCCTTCAAACAACAAAACCTGAGACTCAGCTAACCGAGCTGTCCCTCTCTGCAGAGAACCCTGTTCTGACCAGTCCTGGACCAGTCCCTAAATCAGTCTTTATTATTCATTGTGTTTTCAATAAACTGTTAAACTTTTCCTCCATGTCTGAGCGTGTTCTGCATGTGGGTTAGATCCCTTAATCCCAACATCACATGTTGCTTTTTATGCAAAAACAAAATGCTTTGTTGAGTGTGCTAATTGTTACCCAGAATCCTCAATGTCCACACATTTGATGTAGCTGTCATTGGAGAACAACACCACTGTGGCAACCTGGTCAACTGGAAAAAAGAGAAAAGAGATTTAGCTGGGTTGATTTTTACAGTCCAGGAAGTAGGTGTAGTCCAGGTCCTTCAGCAACACTAAGAAGGAGTCATTAGGAGTTTTTACCTGAAAGAATGACGTTCTTGATGGTTTTGTTAGAGTTGTTTGTGATGTTGACGTCAACATGGATTGTCTCACCATGATAGTAAAGCTAATTAGGGATTCAAGGGCAAGGAAAATTAGGGTAACAACGTCAGGAAAATTAGATGATAAAGAGAAAATAAAAACAGAGAAGTTATAGTAAATAAATTTATTAGGTGCTTATCAGAAAGTAAAACTTTTCAGAGTCATACTGCTTATATTTGTCTGGTCTAGACATATTATTTCTGGTTTAATTTAGTGTGTAGATTTATAACATGAAACAACAAACCTCTTTATCCAGTGTGGCCTTAACATGCAGCGGTTTGTCAGACATGACAAAGTCCTTGGTGGTTTCAACTGTAGGTGGGACTCCCTGTGAGTCTGGAGCGTACTGTACCTTCCTGAGCATTAGCTTTACTGTGCTCCTGTTGAACAAACAGATGCGGAGGTTTAACAGTTTCCTACTGACAACTCTGTCTGACATCAGGACAGCTGAGACTCACCGTTTGCGCACTTTTGCATCCTGGCTCTCAGCACTGAATGCCTTAATCTCGAACTCCACTGCACATTGCTGCAACGGAGGAAGGAAGGGACATTTACCGTCCAATTACCTGTATTAATGCATCGCCTCTACTCTGATCCCTGAAGTTAACATTATCAGGAACCACAAAAAATAAAAATCTTACAGGAACATTTTTTGGAAGAAGTTGAAAGGAGTTGAAACAGTAACCAGTAACTAACGGTCCTAGTTTTAGCTTTTGAACAAAGAGGGCCACCATAAAGTGAACTTAGTGATTGGGATGGATTGATGGATGGATGGATGGATGGATGGATGGATGGATGGATGGATGGATGGATGGATGGATGGATGGATGGATGGATGGATGGATGGATGGATGGGACATCTATACCGTAAACCCTCTAATATAGAATATTTCACTCAGGTACATCTTGGTCCCGGCCATTATTGGAAGGAGGCCAGAATTAGAGGCAGGCCTCTATTTCTATTTGATCAAAACAGACTATGGGTGGAATGAATAAAAACAAGATTTTGTGTCTCTCATTTATCGAAAAAGTACAGTTACCATAACGGTATACAGAACATTATTCAGACATCTTCCAGCAGCTGCAATTTTTCTGCATGGCAATACGAAAAAAAAAAAGACACAGAATGAATTCTTGGCCAGACAAAGTTTTAGAAAAAATCAAGGGAAACTGTTCTACCATCACATCGAAATTTTGTTTGAGGAAGGCTAAGTGGAAGTAGGCTACCAGTATCATATATTTCAAGGGAAATTTAGAACAATGAAGGCCAACGGAATTCTATCATTTTAACGCTGCCTGGTTACCACCAGACCTACTGGTAATCACATTTGTCTTTCAGATCAGAACGATTGTGTAAGGCCACTACGATCTTTGTGTAAGGATGGGAATTCCAATGCTAATGGCTTGGATTCGTTAGCAAACATTGCCCCTCTGTGGTACTTGTATGTTACTATCACAAGTTGTTGAGGACCGCCCAGGGAGTCTTGATAGTATTTACCTCCGCTGACAGCGAAACGGGTCATTATTAGAGGCCTGCCGCTATTGGAATACAGGCCAATATTAGAGGATTTACGGTATTTTAGCCCTTCTTCCTGCTCTTGCCATATCAGCCATCTCCCGTAAATTTTCTGCACTGTAATGTCTGCGTTAGATAGAAGCTCACCTTCCCAACATCATGGGGTGCTGGTTGGAGAGCCACTGAGCAAGGCAGATTGTCCGGAAACTGAAAAGTAATAAACAGATTACTCTCAATTTCAAAAGGAGATATAATTTAGCTGCAAAGGCTGGTTCTGATTGGCTGTTCTGTCCTGGATCACCTCGAAGAAGAATGGGTAGGCATTGCTTCCTAGTTTGCGCAGAAGCTTTGCCTGCACCCTGGTGTGGATTCCCTTCTCACGGTCCTGCAGGGGTGGATATACTTGGCTGGTGGACAGGAACAGCTCCCTGCGGAAGGCTATTCCCATCACATCCATGTCATCTCGGCCGTAGCGAAAGATGCAAGACAGGGTGACAAACACTGTAGGGCAGAGCATACAGGCAGTTTAACTCCAGCAGACACGCCTAAAGTAAATATGCTTTCTGTCCACGAGAGTCTGGCTGATGAATTATAATTCAGGGGAATAACTTTGTCAGGCTGGGTTACATCGATGCCTAACAATGGAAACATGAACAGCATGTTTTGGTACCAACCTTTCCTCCCAGCCAGAGCCTCAGGATCAATGAGGACAACGCCATCTGTTGGTAAACAAAGAAAGAGCAAATATTCATGTTAAACATTGAGCAATAGTGAGCAATCAGAAGGTCTTTGACACTTCATGTGAACCTCTAAAACCAAGAGTTAATCTCAAAATTATTTTTTTTTGTGCTTCAGTAGAAAGACTCTCAGGTTGTAGTTTATATTTTCCCTACTGATAGCAGATAGAAACAGCTAAAGTTTGTTTTATTATAGAATTATATTTCTTTGCAACTAATGTTTCTGCAAAAAATGTTTTTGAGATTGTCCATGTTAAAGTCAGTTGGATTCAGCCAGGGACTTTTGAGGTGTTATTAAAAAAAAAACTACAACGTTGGAGAACTAGATAAAAACAAAGAGATATCAACATGACACCACTGTTCTAATTTTCTATAAACCGCCCTATTAATCAAAATAACTTAAATTACAGTGATGATGAATGCATTGTGTGTTGAATAAATCCCCCAATTTATCCAAGAGAAAATAAACTAGTCTCTGTTTCATGATTTCCTTTAACCTTCTTGGGATATGTGCTGAATTCTCCATCATTGAGACTCACCCACTGGATCCACAGAATCGACGCGGTCCACAAAGTCTCTCTTCCCCATGAACACTCCCACCTGAAGCAAACAAAGGCCTTATTTTTTAAAGGGGCTGTTTGTATTTTGGCTTCATGGAAAAAATATGTAAAAAGCAAAAACCACAAATAATGAAGGAGAGTTATTCTTTCCATAGAAAGATTATTTCTATTAATAATTTCAGACAATAAAAAGTGCTCTGACTGTCTTTTTTTTTCTCTGAAGATCAAGCGTTTGATTAATTTCCTATTGAAGTCGTTCTTTTCTACAATATCCACAAGACATCAACCGAATGGCAAATAAGGTTTTGTCTGTTTTTTTTTTTTGTTTTTTTCCTGGATGATAAAAACAGCTTCAATACATCACCACAGCTGAGAACCACTGCCTGGTAGGTCTACAGTAGTAGCAATTCAAAATTTCCCCACTTTTCTTGATTGGCCCTTAACTGGTCCCCTACAATTCTTTTTTTAATCATCAATCTTCTCACTAAAATATTCTTTGTGTCATGATTTCTGAACATTAAGATCTAAAGAGAATTCAGTGAAAGGTCGGAGTCAGAGTAAAAAAAAAAAAAATACATGCCCAGAAGAAGGAGGGGGTCACTCCAGTGGCTGGGAGTTGGCTCTGCATGCTCATGATTTAAAAATACACTAATGATGATAAACTAGTTAAAAAAATTGAAAAACAATTCACTTTCCAACTTGGAAACCAAGTCCAGTGGATTGTTTTTAATGTTTTGGGAATAACTTTGACCTGGATGACTGAGAACCTTCACCAGATGATAAACTAAATAGATGGTAAATTAAAATATTTTTTTGTTTCAGGTTGCTGTCAGACTTTATTCTCTGTTTGTTTATTGTCCTCTGTTTCCAGGAAGAAAACAGGAAGAAAACTGTTCGGTCTACTTGAGAAATCCTGCAGTACAGTCATTGGAAAAGAACGTGTTCAGCCTTGCTCCCTGTTAGCGCCCACACCTCTTCTCAGAAAGAAGGTTTCTGAGCATTAAGGTTTGATCAGCTGAGACCAACAGGAACAGGCTTCTCTTCAGAGATTCCTCTGGAAGGAACTTTACCAACCAAAGACAAAATATCTTCACTGCTCAACATTTTATTTCTATTTATTGTTGATATGAGATAAAGTTCAGTCATCTGAAAAGTTAACTTCTGTACCCATATATCAAGTACAGCAAATTTTTACATGGGTATTCTTACTTGTTTAAAAACATATTCTTAAACAAAATACTCAAAAGCAAAATGGCTTCTTAAGTGCTCATAGCAGCTCAATTACTGATTAAAATGATGTGATCATACAGAAAGGCACTGTATGAGCAAATGCTGGTAATTCACATAATAAGTAAGTAAATAAAAAATACAAATATAATTACAAAATAAGAAATATCTCATAGCTTAGATTCCTTATTATTCAAGTATTTCTCATTATTATTCAAGTTGAATATGAAAAGCACAGTACATTTCTAAAATTTTAAAATTAAATGTGACCTGGTTCTGTCTCTGCAAAACAGATTTGGTCTGAGAGAGAAAAAGTGACGGTTTAGTTGATCCAGTCCTGTAATTATATTTCACTCACCGACTTGTCTTTGCAAGTCTTCTTAAAAATTATGTTTCTTGGACTCATGATGGTGAAGATGAATAAGCTGCTGCTAGAGGCCTGGGAAAAAAGACCAGACAGGAAGCCATTTTTATCTTTCAGACAGTCAGTTCTCTGAATCACCATCACATTCAAATATAACCATTGTACTGAATGAAGAAACCAAAGAAAACAAACAGTGGGTTCAGAGGTTCAAGCTAAACAGATTTTCAATGGCAGTGCTTATACATTCATAGTGGACTAAAGCTTTGGAAAAGCTCTTGTTTCGGCTTAAACTGGCTCCTAAAGGTGAACCATTGACCATTATGTTGTAACAAATTTGTAATAAACCTCCATTTTTTTTCTGATAATAATTGAAATAAGATAGAAAATGTTTTATTTTACTGATTCCAGAAAAGGGAGTTACTGTATTTGAAATTTTTTTGCAATTTCGTATACCTTTCAACAGGTAATTTTTACTGTTACTTTTATAGCTAATTTATTGTAATTTTATTAACAATTCTCTTTTTAGTCCCAATTCTGTTTGGTACATATTTCTTATCTTTGATGCAGTAACTGCTGCAAAGCACTTTGGTCAGCTTAGGTTGTTTTTTCATATTCTATAAATGTACAATTTAGATTTAAATTTGAGTCCCTGGGATTTTCTGCTTGCACAGTTTTCCTCCACATGACGGCAGCAGATCCGGTCTTCGATTATACCATTGATTAGTGTATTTTAGAAACTCTCATCCAGTCAGTTTATTTTCTCATGGAAGGTTCTGTTGGGTCAACTAAGAGTGTCATACACATGGTGCTCTCACAATAATGGTAATCACAGCCTGTTTCAAAGGGAGGCCATGTTAGAATCCATTTCTTCTTGATGTTGAGTTTTTCCAATCAGCCGGTTGACCTCATTGATCTTTAGGTTGATAGAATCTTGATTTCAAACCTAAATCAGTCTCTTAGATTGCTTTTTCAGGGCTTCTTTTGAAAATCTTTTAAAGAATAAAAGAACATGTTTTATGAAGCATTTTATTCACCAGAAACTAAAAGCAACAACTAGAAACAATTTTAGAACCTGGTAATTTTAGTGTAAGTTCGCTCTAGTGGCTGAAGGATCCATTGATTTATTTTTTTAAATGGATCAACCTTGTAACTGAATAATGAGAGATCTAAGTTGACATAAAAAAAGAGCTTTTTTAACAGCCACTGCTTCTCTTTGGAGCTTATATGGATTTCTTGATAAAAATAAATAGTTGAGTTAATTGAATTAAATTTGCCTGGAGATGTGAGCAGACTTGAGCCCATGAGCCTCATAATCCTGTTAAATCCCTCTTAGACTGTGTTCACTGATCTAAACCACAACTTTGATTGTTGTTAACACAAAACAATGAACAGCAGTTTCTGTACAGTAGAAAAACAGATCAAACCAAGGCACAGAAATGTTAGCAAATTATAACAGAAAATATGCATAAAGTAAAATGAAACATTAAGAAGACTAAAGTTAAAGAGAAACAAAAAAGAACAGTTAACACTGCTTCAAATGTCACTGAGCTAAACTATGTTATAACAGAGACTTAAAGAAATGCAAGAGAAATAGCCTGTGGAATATTTTATGGCAAGCTGTTCCAGAAATCTGGAGCCCCTCCTAAAAAGAACAGACCTCTTAAAGCTTGGCTTAGTTTTTCCTTTAGGTGTAATCAACAGAGGTGGATCAGATGACCTAAGGTCTCCCAGGGAAACTTAAAACCAAGATAGACAGAGAAGTGTGAAGGAGAAAGATCATAAATGTAAAAGAGGAGGTTTTTAAAATACGCTCTTTGGCAAACTTGCTCCATATGACAGAAGTGGAGAGACAATCAAAATATGAGCACCAGTTCTGATGGAGCCAAAGACATCAAAGAGAAGCCTTATGATAATAATCTAGTGGAGTTGTGCTTAAAAGATTGTGGATTAATGCCCCCAGGTCACCTTCTGACACACACCAGGAAACCTTCTCCTTAAACGCAGCTGACTGAGATTTATACCTGTTGGCTAACAAATTATTACATCAAGATTTTGGAGCAAATTCTGAATTGCTCTAAAGATTGATTCAATAAATAACATTTCAATGACATCAGTGACAAGATTTTAAGAAACTAACTGAGTTTTCCTACAGTTTTATCATGAGTATTATGTTTGAACCATTATTTTATTTGTGAGCCTCTGAAAACATAAAGCCTTGTGCAGAATAAAACATTACAAATATATCTATGATCTGAATCTGTGTCGCTGTGTCAAAGATGGAGATTAGATAATTTCTCCTCCTATGCTTCCCCCTCCCAACCTTCACCTACAGTAAACAGATGAAAGTGTGATACAGTAAAGCTGGAGGTGTTGGTGGGATAGGAGGTACTCACCTGTGCTGTAGAGCTGCTGAATGAGAGGAGGAGACAGGTGCTAGTCCAACCAGCTCTATATGTAAACACCTGCTGTCTTTCATGGCTCCTTCAGCCAATCAGAAAGACTCTGCTGTGAACTTTGTCCTCCTCCTCACAGCTAAACATGCAGGCAGCCAGACTTCCTGTGACTGAGCCCTCTGAGAGGATTGGAGCTGGTTCCACCTCCGTCAGCATAACTGGGACAGATTAGAGAGACATGAGGGGAACGTTGATGTGGAACATCTGACCTAAGCTCTGCCTTTATCCCCCACAGCTCGCTGCTTTCTCTTTATTCATCCTGACACTTCACAGACATGTGGGTCCAACCAGGAACCTCTATGCAACCAAAAAGATGTGTATTTTCTCAACCTTTACCTGGCAGCATACAGTGCTCCATAAAACTATTCGTACCACGTGAACTTTCTACAAATTTTGCATCATGTGCTTAATTTGGGGGCTTTATTGGTTAAATAAAGCCCCCTGATAACGAAAATAAAATTAATACTTATTTAAAAAAAATACTACAGCGTGCGCTGGGACAGAATTGGCTCCTCCAAGTCTGAGGCCATGGTCCTCGACCGGAAAAAGGTGGCTTGTCCCCTTCAGTTTGGAGGAGAGTCCCTGCCTCAAGTGGAGGAGTTCAAGTATCTTGGGGTCCTGTTCACGAGTGAGGGAAGAATGGAGCAGGAGATCGATAGATGGATCGGTGCGGCTGCTGCAATAATGCGGACGCTGCACCGGTCTGTCGTGGTGAAGAGAGAGCTGAGCGAAAAGGCAAAGCTCTCAATTTACCGTTCGGTCTACGTTCCTACCCTCACCTATGGTCATGAAATTTGGATAATGACCGAAAGAACGAGATCCCGGATACAAGCGGCTGAAATGAGCTTCCTCCGCAGGGTGGCTGGGCTCTCCCTTAGAGATAGGGTGAGGAGCTCGGTCATTCGGGAGAGGCTCAGTGTAGAGCCGGTTCTCCTCCACATCGAGAGGAGTCAGTTGAGGTGGCTCGGACATCTTCTTCGGATGCCTCCTGGACGCCTCCCTCGGGAGGTGTTCGAGGCACGTCCTACTGGGAGGAGGCCCAGGGGACGACCCAGGAAACGCTGGAGAGACTACGTCTCTCGGCTGGCCTGGGAGCACCTAGGGCTTCCCCCAGCAGAGCTGGAGGAGGTGTCTGAGGAGAGGGAAGTCTGGGAGTCTCTGCTTAGTCTGCTGCCCCCGCGACCCGGTTCCGGATAAAGCGGGAGACGACGAGTATGAGTACGAGTACTAAAGTTAGGGAAGAAATAAAAAAATATATTATTAAGTCTCTAGAAAAAAATAAAAAATAATTCTGAGCTCTTAACATTCTAAATAATTAAATAAATGAAAATAAACATTAAAAGAGGGAAAGACAAAAAAACAAAACAAAAAATTCAAGCTTAAAATTTATTTTGTAAGGTAAAAAAAAATGTTTTAAAAATAAAATAGAAAATATTTGTGTCAATAAGTGCCACAACTCTGTTGTATTATTTACATATAACAAAATTAAAGAAACATTTATTGAATCCCCTGCATCCTCTATTTTTCCATTGACAATATGATCACATGCACATATGTAGTTGGCATGCTCATACTATTGATATGTGGAGTGAATGTGCAGAAGCAGTTTGAAGGTTGAACAGCAGGTCTGATCCGGTCTGCAGAGCTTTATGTATGAAGTGTGATGCTGCAAGGCTTTAATCCCCCGAGTTGCCTGTCAGCAGGTAGAGAAACAACACGGGTGGATTACAGGCTGCTCTGCATTAGTCATCAATATCACACTGGAAATTACAGCGTACACATGCACACTAAGAGCACACATAGAGTTCACCAGGAGAGCTCATCTGGCAGCAACTCAGAATTTTCTAAAGATCTAAATAATTTCTGTTTTTCGAGGTGTCTTATGGTTTAAACATGATCCAAACAGACACACAGGTGATCTATAGACAGTCCAAAGACACAGCCTGCATTTATGATTGTAGTGCCCTTTTCAGTGGAACTGTACTTTAGATGCAGGATAAAACATTGTTTTCAACATTATAGCTTTGTAAATTAATCTGTAAATTTATTTGCAGAAATAAAAAGTACAGTAAAAGTTTGTTGATAATTTCTAAAATTCTAAAAGTCAGGTGTGAGCTCTCAGATGTTTTTTTTTTTTTTTTTTAACAGTGTCCTGTCTGGCAATATGGCAATAAGAATAGTTGTCTTGATGCCAAAAAAGAGCCCAACAGATTTTGCTATCACCAGTGGAGCAGTATGGCTATTGCCATAGTGTTCCGCTTGATTTATGCATGTATACAGCTTTATTATAATTCATGCAGGGAGTATCATAGATTGTATGGATGTTGCAATGGGAAAGTAGAACATTAAAGGAAAAACTGGAAAAGGGATAAAAGATGAAAGAGAGAGGAGATAAAAGGGAGACAATGATAAAAGGCCCTGGGATGTTAATATAGTTAGCCCTAAACCTAACCACAACCTGCACTCGTCCCTAGAAATGGTTTTTGCTCTCCTTTTCTGCTTTTTTTTTCTCCTCTTAATTGTTTTCTTCTCTTATTTCTTCCTCCTCCTCCCTCTTTTTAGTGGCATTATCCTGTCCCTCTGCATAAATTCCAACACAACAGAGTACGTCGTGATACTCAAACTAAACACAGTGTCCTATCTGGCGATGTGGCAATAAGAATAATTGTCTTGATGCCAAAAAGAGCCCAACAGATTTTACTTTCACACATGGATCAGCATGTGCCATAGTGTTCTGCTTGTTTCCTGCATATAAATTGCTTTATTATAATTATGCAGGGAGTTTTAAAGATTATATGGACACTGCAATGTAAATAGAATAGAAGAGGGAAACCATGAAAAAAATGAGAAAAGAATAAAGAAAGGGGAGATAGAAAGGAGATAATGATCATTTTCAGTCTGCTTCATCACCTGCAAAGAGATGTAAAAAAAAACTGTACAACCAACAGACATGGTACAAGACATACAATAAAGTAACACCTTGAAACTATCGCTGAATGTGTGTGTTTCTCTGGTCAGCTGGTATAGAGTGAAATTAGTTTTATGTGATTAGAAGAAATAACAATTTTTACATTTATTGTGAACATGGCTCATATTATTTGTTTTTATTTTTTTATGTTTATATTTTTATTGTAGATCCCCAGTAGCTGCAGCTTCACATGGCAGCTATTCTTTATGTGGTCCTGATAAGCTACCTTTAACAATCCTGTGGGACCTGAACTCATTCAAAAAACCCAACACACAAAATGCCAAGCCTATGATGGATCATGGAGCCATGCAGGAACCGTTTTGATAACATGCTGTAGCGATAATACTCGGCCCTGTGTTGTACTTTGCCTGGCTGAGTCTAATGCTCCTTCATCACAAGAAAAGTTGGTCCATTTTGTAAACTTAACCACTGGCCTGTTGAGCCCAAACTTCCAATGGCCAGCCAACCTCTGCCCAAAAATAAAAAAATCAAAGAAGACAAAAAGTCTCATTAGTGAGGAAGTGTATATTTTTTTGTTTGAGCATTTATGAATAATTCTGAACTTATGTGGGCAAGAAGAGAATAATAACGAATTCACACATCTGCTCCCAAAGTCCTCTAGTTTTATAATCAGTCCATTCTTGTATGAACCCTGGGGTCCATGATGAGTGGGACCTGAGTTTAAATCCAGTCACAGCTGAGCTGTTTTGTTAACAAACTTTATTGAGATATAATAAAATTACAACGGTTTCATTGAAATAATCAGTAATCAAAAATATTTTCTTAAGCAAAAATATGTAAAACAGTAAAGATTAGTAATTCAGACAAAAGATCGAAGACAGCTACGGTATAATGAGAGTGAACGGTTGGTTCTAAACATCTGAGACTGTGTGTCTCTATAATCCAAGTACATTTATTTTGTCCCCTAAAAACTGTTTATGGAAAAAAAAGCATCATGTTTTTTTTTCTTTACTTTCTTTGTACAGCCTAAAATCTAAACCTTTAGAAACAGACGAGCCAACAGAGTCCTTATAGAAAAGTTTTCAGGTGGGATTAGACATAAGCTCTGCCAGACTCTTGTTCGGACCGTGCCGTAGCAGTGTAGACCTTTCCTGGGTAACCTCTGAAAAAAACAAACAAAGAAAGACTTTATTCATAGGATTCATTTGCACTAAACGAATGCAACTAAAACATTTATGGTGGACGTGGCTGGAGTTACAGTTCTAAGAATCAATACGCCACCAAGATCATCCAAAGCATCATCATATAAATATGAAGTCTGTTAATTATTTACCCTTTCTTGCCAGCAGGTGATGCTCTCTTACAGGCGCTGCAGAGGAGACCTCCACCCAGGATGCATAGGGAGCCTCCCCCCCACCCGATGTAGAGGCCTGAACCCAACTCAAACCTGAAGACAAACACAAAGTTTACATCAAATCCTGTGTGTGAATCCAGAACTACTTCCTGCCTGAGAAGGAGAAAAAACTCACCTTACTCCTCCATATAAAGGGTTGTTGAAGTCCTGAACCACCTGGACTCCGTACCAGGAGCAGGCTATGATGCAGCATAGACCTGCAAAACACAGAAATACAAACATGATTCCTATAGGAAAGTGGCTTTACTTCTGTCAGTTATTTTTGAAGTACTTCATATTTTATCCAATTTAAGTTTTTAATCAGTTTGCATTTCATGCCTGTATGTTTCACACACGCTTTATAAACCAACAGACTTTGTGTCGTTTTGTGATCATTGTTGATTGTTTCTATTGCAGTTTAATTGCTCTGTTTATAAGGATCCTCAACTGTTGTGTTCAGGGTCCGTTTTTCAGTTAAACATATCTTTCACAAATAGGAAATATATGAAAAAAACAATCTAAATGAAAATGCTGTTTTATTGCCATTTATAGCTGTTAAGAAGTGTTATTGGGCTCATCTGTGTGTTTGTGCTGTGTCATTGTGCAGCTATCTGGTTGGTTCATTTCTGCACATCCTGCACCTTCCTGCATGTTTCAGATGGTTTCCTCTTAAAAAAAACAAAAAACTAAACTCTAACAATGACGACTAAAACTCCCACACAGTAGCTGATATTCAGAATGGTTCATCTTAGCAGAAG